GCCCTGGTTTGGGTGTGGTTTCCCAGACACAACATGAAGGGAAGTACAGTGAGGGACTAGCATAATCGAGATCAAAAGGTTCCCTGACTGGTGACCTCCCTAGAGAAGGCAGCCCCCACCAGGTGGGCCCATCTGGACCTCTTGTTCACATGCTTCCAGCAGCTGCCTGCTGCCAGGCATAATAGCGCACAACTATATTCCCAGCAGCTTGGGAGTCTGAGGAAAAAGGATCCCAAATTCAAGGCCAGCTCAGCAACTTAAAAAAAGGTTGGGTGTGTGGCTCTGTGGTTAGGCACTCGGAGTTCAATCCCTAGCACCTGCCTGCTGCCTCCCTGCCACCCCTGCCAGTGGTACTCCTTCCAGCAATGAGGCACAGAAGGAAAACAAAACAATAATGTGTATTCAGTACTGTGTTGCTTTTTCTTCTGAAAATTGAAGGGCCCTGTTGGCTGCCAGGCAGGTGTTAAATTAAGAGGCAGGCAGAGCAGCATATGCCTATAATCCCAGCTCCTTAGGAGGCTGAGGCAGGATTGTAAATTCAAGGCCAACCCTAGCAATTTAGTGAGACTCTCAGCAACTCAGCGTGAACCTATCTCAAAAAAACAAAAAGGACCGAGGATGTAGCTCAGTGGAAAAGTGCTCCTGGGTTCAATCTCCAGTACCAAAAAAAAAAAAAAGAAAGGAGAGAAGGAAAGAAGATTCTCCCTGTTTCTCCACCACCACCCAATATCTTTCATTTGACCTGATAACAAGAAATTAAAACTCTGAATGGCTGGACAAAGGAAGAGGAAAGGGAAAAGCTTGAGGGAAAGTACAAACCAACACATAAACTCAATCTCTAAATTCACTCTTTTGTGGGGAGTAGGGGGAGGAAAAGGGGTTTAAACGCAAGAGTACTTTACCACTGAGGTACATTCTTTTTTATTTTTTTTAAGACAGGGTCTAAGTTGCTGTAGCTGTCCCAAACTTGGGATCGTTCTTCCTTAGTCTCCTGAGTTGTTGGGATTATAGCTGTGTACCACTGCACAGTTCACTCTTTTATTAATGAAAATAATTTTGTCGACTTTCAGACATTTCAACATCATATTTATTTATTTGTTCAGTGGTCTCCTAGTCGGTGCCAGGCACTGTGTTAGGACACAGTGGGGAGTAAAAACAGAATTAACCCTGTATTGTGGAGACAGATCAATGTAAGACTGAAATGGTGAAGACATAGAGCAAATTGGGCTGAGAGGCACATTGTGTTACTGTGACAGCCCCATCTAACCAGCGATTATTACTAGAGCTGTTGGTTCAGCTGATACCTTAAGGAAGGAAAGGACTTGCTTATGCAATTTGGATGTTTTTGTCAAGTTTTTGGTTTTAAATGTCAGGTGTGGAAAGCTGAGGTTACCAGATCCCTCCACTCACAGCACACAACTGTTAAAGTTCACTTAGTATCTTTTATCTCTATTTCTCATTCTGTTTTCCCCAAAGGCAGATAATAATGTACTTATCAGACAATCTGCTATTTTCTGGCTTTCAGACAGCTGATAGGTTATCTTGCCAAATGGGTATGATGACAAGATACTGGATCAAGTAAAAGGGCATTGAAAGTTGGACAAGGGAAAAAAGGATGAGCTGGAGATCTAGTTCAGTTGGTACAGTGCTTTTCTTGTATGCCCAAGGCTGTGTTCAATCCCCAGCACCACAAAAAAAAAGGGGGGGGGCGAGAAAGGAGAGATGGATTGGGGGAAGTAGTTATTGGATTTGAGATCCTGATGACTTCTGAGCAGCAAAGAGGAAGGAACAGGGATTATAGTGGAAGAGATCTTGGTGATGACAAAATCCAAGATGAGGTTGGTAAAGCAGAATAGTGGTCGCTATAGAGATGATCAGGGCGTTGGTCATTGCCATAATCTAGAATACTTTAAGTCCATTAAGTCCTCAAATCTCTATAAGGGTAGAGAATAGGAGTCAAGGGCTAATACACATGAAGAATAAGGGAGTTAGATTGGGGATGTAGCTCTGTGGTAGACCACTGTCTAGCACATTTAAGGCTATGGGTTCCATCTTTAGCAGCCCCCCCCTCAAAAAAAAAAGGTGGTGGTGGTAGGACTATTTGGCTGTAAGGGATAGAAAACATCTTATTGGGTCACAGTGGTGCATGCCTGTAATCTCAGCAGCTTGGGAGGCTGAGGCAGGATGATCATGATTTCAAAGACATTTTCAGCAAAAGCGAGGTGCTAAGCAATTCAGTGAGACCCTGTCTCTAAATAAAATAGGGCTGGAGATGTGGCCCCATGGTCAAGTGCCCCTGAGTTCAATCCCTGACACCCTGGCCCCCCCAAAAAAAAAGAGGAGCTAGAAAACATCAAAATTAATAGGACTTAAGGCAAAAGTTCTTCTCCTACACTTACTACAAACAGTAATAGTCTGCCCAAGGCCTGAATAGCCCTCCTCAGTGTCAAGAGATAAGTCTGCTTCTCCCTATTACTCTGCTTTGCATAGCAACAATTCTCCAAGCTACCTCATGGTCCAAGGCTGCTGGACTTCTATTCCAGAGAGCAGGAAGCAAGAGAACATACCTCGTTTTAAAGAACACTTGGAAACTGTATATATGTCATTTCTTCCATCAATTTTGTCACAGCAGCCACAATCCCAGCTAAAATTCTGTAGGTTCTATTTCTAGAAGGGGGAAACCAGATATTGGGGACCAACTGGCAGCCTCTTCCACAGGGAATGATGGGGCAGTAGAACAAAGAACAGGGTGATGGTGATATAGCAGAATGGCAGCAGCCTTAAGTGGAAGGGGGGTGAAGTCTAGAAGTGGGATACATAGGAACCTAACCTTCAGCTCCCAGTAAAAGCCACCCCTGGGAGGGGCTGCAACATGAAGGCAGAAGCACAAAACAGCTACCCATAGTGGTTTGCTAGAGGACCTTTGGGTTGGGGAAGGGACATAGGAACTGGGTCAGGACCAGCAAGGGCAAGTTTGTAAGACTACTGGATGAAAACAGGATTGAGGGGCTGGGGTTGTAGCTCAGTTGTAGAGCACTTGCCTTGGATATGTGAGGTACTGGGTTCAATCTTCAGCATATTAAAAAAAAAAGATATTAAAAAACAAACAGGATTGAGAAGTTAAATGGTCTTGGTATCTGAGACAGGTAGGTCTTGCTTGGCCAAGGTGATACAAACTAGAAATGGTTCCACCTCTAAAACCTCTAAAACCACAATTTTAGGGACTGGATTGTGGCTCAGCAGTAGAGTGCTCGCCTAGTGTGTGTGAGGCCCTGGGTTCGATCCTCAGCACCACATAAAAATAAATAAAGGTATTATGTCCAACTACAACTAAAAATAAATATTTTAAAAATATATAAATAAATTAAACCACAATTTTAGCCATTAGAGCTAATCAGCAGGCTACCTCACAGGTTGTCCAACTCTTGTATCACCTGACCTCTAAGCCCCGGTACCATCCCCAAACTGCACATTCGATGTTACAAGGTTAACAAAATATTTATTCCTTCCCACAAGTAGAAGGAATGTTCAAATGCCAAAAATGATCCATAGGAGGGCAATACAGCTTAGGGCAGGTCACTGTGCAAAACAATGAGAAAAAGATGTTACTTCTACACACACACACTTTTTTTCAGTGTGAGGGAGCGGGTGCGGGGGAACTCATGTCAGGCCAGTGCTCTTCCATTGAGTTACATCCCCACACTCACAATTTACACCATCAATCTCTTCTTTAGGTACTATCCCCTATCAGAAGCACATGCCCAGCCTTCTTCCTCTCCCCGCCCACCCTGGTGCCCTCAGAAATCTAAGACTCCAGTCTTTTTTTTTTTTTTTTTAATTGTTGGTTGTTCAAAACATTACATAGTTCTTGATATATCATATTTCACACTTTGATTCAAGTGGGTTATGAACTCCCATTTTTACCCCGTATACAGATTGCAGAATCACATCAGTTACACATCTATTGATTTACATATTGCCATACTAGTGTCTGTTGTATTCTGCTGCCTTTCTAAGACTCCAGTCTTCACTTTCAGGAAAACTCCTTTAATTAAGATGCCCAACATTTTAGGGGGGCAAATGACCTATAGCAGAAATGTCAGTGAGCTCTACATGTGTGTCAGCAAAGGGAACAAGGAACAATGGAAAACAGCTGCCAGCAAAAGACTGCAGGATGGTAGGAAGCAGATGAAGCAGAGTGAGCATGGCCCTGCCCCCCCCCCCCCCCAAGTTATCTACCAACTCCTTGCCATTTAGTTATACTTTGCCAATTTTTTTGAGAATTAATGCAGACACACAGAAAATGCCCAGCACCTGTTTAGCTTGGTGGTGCTATATCCAGGTATTATCATTTTGGGCAATACTGGGGAATGTAGGGGTGCTCTGTCACTGCAACAACATCCCTAACCCTTTATTATTATTTTTTAAATATTCATTTTTTCAGTTTTAGGTGGACACTGTATCTTTATTTTCTTGTGGTGCTACCCAGTGCCTTGGGTATGGTAGGCAAGCACTCTACCACTGAGCCAAAACCCCAGCCCCAGACTGTTATTATTTTTTAATGTTCTGAGACAGGGTCTTCCTAAGGTGTCTAGGCTGGCCTCAAATTTGTGATCTTCCTGCATCAGCCTCCTGAGTCACTGAAATTACCAGTGTGCACCACTACACTTAGCTTATTTCAAGTTGTTAGATCATAAAATGCTGCTTGGCACAAAAGATAATCAACAAACATTAATAAAATGAACAAAGAGGTAGTATTAGAATAAACTAAGGGCTCTGATCTAAGGATGATAGTCACAACTGCTGTCAGAGAGCTAAATTAGGAGAAACATCAAGAATACTGGGTTTAAGGGAAGGCAGGTAGAACACATTTGTAATCGCAGCAGCTCAGAAGGCTGAGGCAGAAGTATCGTGAGTTCAAAGCCAGCCTTAGCAAAAAGCAAGGCACTAAGCAATTCAGTGTGACCCTGTCTCTAAATAAAATACAAAACAGGGCTGGAGATGTGGCTCAGTGGTTGAGTACCCTGGAGTTCAATCCTTGGTACCAAAAGAAAAAAAAAAAAAAACAAGTACTGAGTTTAGAGGGTGGCACCAGGCCAGCCCTGAGACACAGCCAGAAATCCTGTCAAAGAAAATTCTGTAAGCAACAATTCTCACAGCACAGCTCACTTGAAAAGGAATCCAGGAAGCTTCTGCTACTAACAATGATAATGGACAGGGCCCATTGCATGCTGTTCCCAGATCCTACACCAAAATGAAAAAAGGGGGACATAAACTTCCCTCAGAGCCCAGGAGGGAAATGAGGCAGGATGCGGTGATTGCTGAGGAAGTGGGAAGGCAAGAGAACCCCAGCGCTTGCACCCTAACTTTCGCTTATCAGCTCTTTGCCCCAAGCCACAGGCTGCTTCCTAAACACAAGGAAGGGCAAATGATGTTAGAAGATAGAACTAAGGACAGCTCTACAGACAAGTTTCCAGCAGGCAGATGAGTAAATCAGCTGAGCTTTTCTTTGCATTTTGGTCCTTGTCTGAGATACTTTTGGAAGTCATGAAGGGTAATCCTGAAGGTGACAGAGCAGCAAACACAGAGGGATAAGTTGTAAGGGCAGGTGAGCCTGTCCAGATGGCTCAGTAGCCTGCTTCCTGGGTCCAGTTTCGGGCATTGATGAAGAGCTGAAGCCACGGGGAGGTGGTAAGAGTGTCAAATGGAGGGGGTCGCCATGCCCACTGCCATGGCCTCACAGCCCTCTCAGGATGAGGCATAAGAGCCAGGTGGCGGCCATCATGGGAGCAGACACCAGCCACACCCCTTGGAGAACCATTGGGATTCAGTGGGTATTGCTCTGTGGGGTTCCCCTCATCATCTGCCCAGTGCAGGGGAGCCAGGCCTTTGGCCTCAATCTGGGCTTGGAGTTCTGGAGAAGAAAATGCCATGTAACCTGGGAGGGAAGAAAGAAAATGAAAGTCAAGTTCCTTCAGGCCTTTTATCCATTCCCAGCCCTCAGTCCTCTCCCCGCCTTCCCAGGCCTGACCTTCTCCATGGGCGCTCCATACTGGCAGCACAGCACCTTCCATCCCTTGAAGCATCAGGGCTGGCCCAGGCCCCACACGCACAGTGGCCCAGCGAGACTCAAAACGCCCAGACAGGTTGTGACGCAGCATGAGGCCGGGCTGGGTTGGCCAGGAGTCATGATCCATATCCCCGACTTCTTCATCAGGGTTGCCACCCACCCAGCCCAGCAGAGCCAGCAACTGACAGCCATTACACACGCCCAGGCTAAAGGTGTCTGGCCGCTTCCGGAAACGCCTCAGCTCAGCCCCAGCCTGTGAATGAAAAGTCACAGCAGCTGCCCATCCTAGAAGGGAACATGGAAGTCAGGTGAGATGTGGGAGGCCTCAGAAAAAGAGAAGCCAAGAATGAAGGGAAACGGCTGCTCTTTGACTCCAGCAGGTACCCCTCTCTGCAGAGCCTGGGGCACGAGAGGGAAGAAATGGGCTTGTCTGCTTAAATCTGATGTTACCAACTCCTGGGACACAGATGGCCAGTGATTTTCTTTTTGCTTGGCCAACAGAACATTAAAAGTTTTTACTTGGGTTGGGGTTGTGGCTCAGTGGTAGAGCGCCTGCCTAGCATTTGTGAAGCCCTAGGTTCAATCCTCACTAGGTTCAATCCTCAGCACCATGGATAAAAAGACAAATAAAATAAAGGTACTGTGTCCATCCAGAATTAAAAAAAAAAAAATGCATCATATATGTTTTTATTGAGTTGCTCAACACTTAAAAATAAGATCTCATACAAAAACCTGAATTTTCAGCTTTTCTTTAAACAATAAGGGTCTGGTTATGTTGAGCCACCTTTTCAATAGCTGCTTCAGCCGAGCAGCAGCTGCCCCTTTAGATAGGACATAAATTGTCCAGATTAGCAAGACCCCACCCAGATAACCTGCCCCATTTATTAACCTCAGGCCTTCTGCTGACACCTGACAACTGAACTCATTTGCTCACTCTCCCCTTGGCTTTGTGGAGGTGAGAGATTTGAGGAATGTGGCAGAGGAGCACCTACCTTTGGCAGAGCCCAGGACGTCTGCATAGCTGAAACCACCCACAAAGGCCACACCACGGAATGTGTCTAGCCCAATGGCCCCAGAACAGAGGTCCTGCATGGTCACGTCCCACACCTAGCAGGTCAGAGAAGGCAAATGTCAGGGTACCCAGTCCGAGGCTAGATCAAGGCCTCTAGCTCTGTTGGCCAACCTACTCACCTCAAACCCAGCCAAGTGGAAAGCATCAGCCATCTCCCGGTCTCCATTACTACCCTCTTCTCGCAAGACGGCGACTCGCGGGGCAGGACCACCTGGAAGGAGGAGTGTCTCTGGTCTAGACAGTTACCTCCCCACCTGAACTCCCCAGACACCTTTTCCAGAGCAGGCCCAGGCACCCAGGTCTTGGGCTCCACACCCAGGCTGACGGCCTAGGAAACCAAATGTTGTTGTGCACACTCCCTCACCAAGCTCATGGGGCACAGAGGCCTTGGGGAAAGAGGGGGGCAAGCAATAGCTGGGCCCCATCCGCTCCCTTAGACCCTGTTCCTCTTCTGCCACATAGTGTGGCTCTGCCTGCAGCCGGTCCAGTTGGAAACTTGTTTCCTCCCAGAGGGCTCGCAGTTGCCCAACTGGCTCCTCCACAACCACAGTCCCGTTCACTGATACCCGAACCTGAAAAGGGCAAGTAAATCAAGAGCTAAGAGAAAGGACAGCCCCTCCATGGCTGGCAGAGAGGCCTACAGCTTCCTCGCTCAGACTGCCCACTAAGCCCCACTCTCCCTGGCTTCCTCACCATGGCATGGGGACCAGCTTCGCCTGTGTGGCCCAGCTCCAGGCAGTGGAGGCCAGCATTCCTGTAACGCTGCAACACTCCAGCCAGGTCTGGCTTCTGCACCTCCAGCACCAGGCCTGGCTCCTCAGAAAACAGCACTGGCAACGCTGGGAGAGCAATGGAGGCAAGTCAGGGTGTTTAGGGTGCTGCCAGAGATTTAGAGGCAGCAACCAGAGCTGTGGTGAGGACTTGGATGGTGGGAAGAGGAAGTTGCATCAGGGACTGTGGGGGGTCTTCAAGGGGTGCAATAAGGAACATAGTGGGTGCCATTTAGTTCAGCTGTCAGGAGATAGCTCAGAAGAGACAGTCGAAGAAGACCCAGGGAAAATGGGTTGAGGACATTCTATTCTTTATCAGGAGATGAGGTCTGCAGGGTAGAGAAGGCAGCCAGACCTGACTCTAAATCTAGTTTCTTACCATCGACCCCAGGCGCAGCTACATCCACTTCTATCCCACAATTCCCAGCAAAGGCCATCTCGAGCAAACAGGTGACAAGGCCTCCATCGCTGACATCATGGCCTGAGCAGAGGAGGCGGTCTGAAGGAAAGTAAAAAAAGTTCAGTGATCTTGGGGCCCAGCCTGATGGCTCCACTTAACTACTTCTGGAGAGTCCATGACAGTGTGTGAGAAGGTAACACACATGGGGAACAGAGAAGGATCCAAGTCCCTAAGCCCCACGTAGTTAGCTGGTGAGCACCTGCTGCCATGTGCACCACCTCTCCAGCCTCACCTTTTAGAAGCCCCTGGGTGATCCTGAAGGCATGAACCAGGTTCTCAGGAAGATCCAGGTTGGGAGGCTGTTCCCCGAGCTGTGAAAAACACTGGGCCAGAGCTGTGCCCCCCAGCCGGTGCTGCCCAGGGCTCAGAGGCACATACAGCAGATGGCCTGAAGAGACAGAGATGGGGGGAGATGGATAGTTCAGGAGTACCCTTCCCTGAGGTGCTCATAGCATTGCCATTCCCAACATGCAAAAAGATGCCCCAGACCATTAGTTCCAGAAAGTACCACAGCCCAGTGCTGAGATGAGGGAGCCCCCAAACTAAGACCAAGGTCAGAGCACATTGCACATACCTCTCCCTCTAGGATGTTTGAGGTCTGGGGTCACAGTGGCTGTGATATCTGGACAAACAGCATAAGCTGAGATGACCAGTGACCCTACAGAGCAAGGAAGACCAAAAAAGAGTGAGATTCCAGCCCAGCCCAATGGTCCCTTCTCCATCCCCCTCTCCTGAGGACCCCAGCCTCACCAGGAGCCCGCACAGTCTCAGTGCCGACCCGGGCAGCCATGCTGAGGGAATCCTTGCCACCATCCACTGCCACACCCAGTGCTGCCATCACAGCCACCATAGCCTCACAGGCATCAGCTAGAGCTGCACCTTCCCCTGGGAGCTTGGCTGCCCACATCCAGTTCCCACTGCACTTCACATCCTAGGAGAGTAGAGATAAACATCAGAGTGGAAGAGACATGCAGACTGGGGTATAGAGGGACTGGGTGGTCGTGAGCATGAAATGAAAGGCAAGCGATGAATGTGGAAGTGTCCCAAAGGCCTGGAACTCTAGGGTAGAAGCTGTCAGGGAACTCACCCGGAGATCAGTGACCAGAGCAAACACCAGGTTGGTGAGGGCTTCAGCCACAGCCAGCCGGGCAGCCACCTTGGGGTCCAGCAGGCTCTTGACTGGCTGCTCTCCCAGGGCTGTGGCAGCCCCTATGAGTTCCTGGTGACTCAGTGCTATGACAGCTACATCAGCCAGAGGAGTGTGCAAAGGCCCAACACACTGCTGTTGGGCCACCAGGCCACCCACAGAGCGGTCCACCTGTGGTATGAAATACAATTGGCAAGAGGGCAAAGACCAGAGAGCTAGGGGCTCGGGTTGTATGTAGCTCAGTAGTTGAGGGCTTGCCTCGCATGCATGAGTCACTGGGTTTAATCCTTAGCACCGCATACAAAAGTAAATAAATAAAATAAAGATATTTTTAAAAAAAGAACAGAGAGCTCAGGTTGTCCATTTTTTCCTGAGGGAGACAGAACAGTGGGAAACCTGGCTTCCCTCCAACATGCAGATAAGAGCTCCACACAGAGGGTAGGCAGCAAGAAGACCAGGGCATGGGGTGGAGGTGAAGGTATCCCTGTTCCTCCCCCAAGATTCTAGGGCTGTGGTGGTCCTAAGGGGAGGAAAGACAGCAGAGGGCTGAAGGGGTGAAGCAGGGGTGCAGGGAAGACCTTGGTGGTGAGATAGCGCTTGCTGGCCACAGAGGGTAATCTCAGAACCCGCTCCAGAGCCTGGCGCACACTCAGCCCCTGAGGCAAGGCCAGGGGCTGCAACACAGGAGAATCCCTCTGGAGAAAGAACTCCTACAACAGAAATGGCAACAGGGGAATGTGAGTACCCGCGGAAGGCTGGGTGCAAGCAGATGATGAGGGTCCCGAGAGGAGGGCCACAAGAGAAACACATCCCATCCCACATACCTTCTGAGGCATCTTGCCCAATACCCATTCGAGCTCCAGGTCCACAGGGGTTGGGGGAGGTTTAGGGGGGGCATCCCCCTGGCCATTTCTCCCCATGGGACACTCACGATCATCCACCAGCACGATCTATGGACCACAGGGACACCACCCAGAGGGAATGAGACTATGAGCACCAGCAGGGAATGCTTCCAGAGATTAGGGCAGAGATGGTCCTTCCACCCCTTGTTTATCTTCCTCTGTAATTTCTACCTTCCCCCTGCTTCCTACATCTGTTCCCCATACGTTCTTTGACACCATCTCCCATCCTTCTCCCTTGACAGTTCTTGCTCTAGCCCAAGAAGCCAGGCAGCTTGAACCTACCAGTAATGTCTGGCTCTTGGAGCCAACTCACCCTCTTGTCTCCAGTAATGGTACCCACAAAGCAAGCCAGACAGCGTTCCCGGGCACTGACACGACTCAGGAAGTCCCGGTGGGGGGGCCTCAACAGAAGTGCATTTGACTCCTGGTACTCGGCCCCCCAGATTTCCAAGGCATTCAGGGTTGGGTCACCCAGCTACACAGACATAGCAGAAAGCAAAGAGAAGAATCACTAGGCCTTCCCCCACCTCACACTGTTGCTAGGAATTGGGGATCATAAAGGAAGGATGGCTGGGGCTGGTAGAGGGGGGACTGCCAGACTTCAGGGGATGAGACCAACCTGGAAGCGGCTGGTGTAAATGATGGCCCCTGCTGGGTCACTCAGTTCCTTTAGGACATTGCCTGGTGAAAGGATTGCAGGGAAAGGTGGCAATCTGGTCATGGTCAGCTCCAGGCAAAAAAAGGGCAGTCCCAAACCTCCAAAGGAGCACCTAATTGTGTCCCTGCAGGAATTGCTGCTATAGTCTCACTACCAATTGTCACAGGGCAGCAGGCTCCACCCACTCCAACCCCGAACTGGTCCAGAACATACAGCATGAAGGACTTAAGAGCTGGGTGGTTGGTTGCAGATGCTCAATGTCTCTCCCTAAACCAAATTTGGCAGGAGTTAGTAGGCCCAGCACTTTGTCCCAACTGCTTCCCTCACCATTGCCACCAGCACCCTGATCATGGAGGCTGCAGATGGGGTTTTCCATGGGGGCTTCCACACAAGCCCGGATAACACGGTTCATTTTCTGTTCCATTTCTGGGTCTCCCCGCTGCACAGCCCCAAAATCCAGGTCACTGGCATTATCTCCCTGCACCTGAAGGAACATAAAGCATAGCTCAGCTCAGGGAGGCTGGGCTCCCTCAAATCCCACACACATAGGACCCAGCAACATCAAGGAGTCTGAATCTTTAGCTATTCCCACTCACCTGCACAGATGAAGCTGCTCCACCTCCAACTCCAATCCTATAGACAGGACCCCCAACCTTTACAACATCCATGCCTGCAAGGAAGAAGCGTAGAAACAGAACACAGGGAAAACCATCACAAGCCTCTAAAGCAAGGTAGTATAAGGACAAAGAAAGTTTATGTGAGGGGTACATGATCTTAATACTCCACTGGGCTGATGGGAGACTGAATTAGAACAACATCTACAGAGGATAATGTGGCCCTAACAATCAAAATTACAAATACATGTAGCTCAGTGGTAGAGCACTTGTCTAGCACGGACAAGGTCCTGGGTTTGACCCCCAGTACAGCAAAAATACATACATACATACATACATACAAATGCTTCTGTTCTTTGGGAAAATACACTTCAAGGAATATTTTTTTTTTTTTTTGGTACCAGGGATCGAACCCTGGAGACACTTAACCATGAGCCACTCCTCAGCTCTTTCTATATTTCATTTAGAGAGAGGATCTCGCTAAGTTGCTTAGGGCCCCACTAAGTTGCTGAGACTGGCTTTGAACTTGCAATACTCCTGCCTCAGCCTCCCCAGACACTAGTGTTTCAGGCAAGAGTCACTATGCTGGGCATACTTCAAGGAATTTATTCTATGAATTTACTCATAAGGATACAAAATTTGCCTACCTATAAGAGTAAACATTGTAAACTGGGCGCAGTGGTGCATGCCTGTTATCCTAACAGCCTGGAGATGAAGGCAGAAGATCACAAGTGCAAAGCGAACCTCAGCAATTTAGCAAGGATCTAAACAACTTATAAAAACTCTGAGACCTTATCTCTAAAAAAAAAAAAAAAAAAAAAGAAAGAAAGAAAACTGGAGATGTGGCTCAGTGGTTAAGTGCCCTGGGTTCAATCCCTGATACCAAAAAGTAAATAAGTAAATAAATAAAAATTTAAAATAAGGGTTGAGGGATGTAACTCAGTAGCAGAATATCCCTGGGTACAATCCTCAATAAGTTCTAGATGAAGTAAAGAAAAGAAGAACAAATATTCATATGGATCTACTTGCATATGCAGCAAACACTTCTAGCAGGATACAAAAGTAACTGAATAAAATTGATTGTCTCTAGAGAGGGAAACTGGGGTCTGGAGGTCAGGGGAAGGAGTTTTCAACGCATAACATTCCTTGCCTTTTGAGTTTTGAGCCATGTGACCGGATCACTTAGTCAGAAAATGGGACCTGGACTTTTATCTTGATTCCACCATAGCTCTTAGCACAGTGCTCTGCACACAATGAATACTCAATAAATGTTTGCTTAATTGAACTGAACCAGCAAATAAAAGTCCCTGGCATATAGCAAATAGCGAACAAACATTAACTGCCTCAATTTAGCAGGGTGTGATCCAGAAGCATAGGGGTAGGGGTGAGAAGGGCCTCTCCCCTACATAAATAAAGTAGGGAGGAGACAGAGACAACAAAGGCTGAGACTGCTTGCTAACATAAACTACTCTCCTGCCTTGAAAACCTGTACTGGAGGAGAGACATGAACCAAGGAATTAAAAACTAATCAATAAATGTCCCCTCAATTCCCTCCCTGAAACTTTCCTGTGCTGACCGAATACAGGGAAAAGTAGCAGGTTTTTACCTGGCTCTGGAGGTTCCTTGCCCACATGCTCAGCTTCCATGGACCCAATGCCCCCACTAAACATAATGGGTTTGATCCACTCACGCCGCTGACCATTAGGGAGCTGGAGGCCGAAAGAGCGGGCAAAGCCTGAAGTGTGGACATCAGAAAGAAGGGGTTAGGAACCAATCACACAGACCCCTAGCCTTTGCCCAGTACTACAGTCCATGGGTCACACACTCACCCACAAGCCCTTGGGGGACTACGTGTTCATTATCCCTCTACACGCCCAGCCTTACCAGCCAACACTGGTTCCCCAAACTTGTTGCCATAGTCAGATGCCCCATTACTGGCTTCGATGGCAACCTCCAGGGGCCTGGCAAAGTTCCCAGGGTACTGGAAGCTTGGATCCTCCCAGGGAAGATTATAACCTGAGAGGAAAGAAGAAAGTTGAATGGACTATAAAGATATAAGATGGAGTTGGGCATGATGGTGCACACCCATAATCCCAGCAACTTAGGAGGCCTCATGAGAAGAGAAGTTTGCAAGTTCAGGGTCAGCCTTGGCAACTGAGACCCATTCTCAAAAAAATAAAAAAGATGGAATTGGGGATATAGCTCAGTTGGTAGAGTGCTTGCCTCGTATGTGCAAGGACCTGGGTTCAATCCTCAACACTACAAAAATAAATAAATAAAAAGGGCTGATAATGTAGCTCAGAGATAGAGCACGCCCTTGGCTTTGATCCCCAGTACCTAAAAACAACAAAAAAGAAGCAGGATGGAAGAACCAGCATCATTGGGCAAGTCTAAATCAGTAAGGACCACCCGCATGGTTGGAATGTCCACTTTAGCACAGTGTAGAACCTGTAGTTAAGTGCTAGTCTTTTTCTCCACCTCCCACATCAGCCTTCCCTCTTCTCAGTATCAGACTTCTTTTTCTGTTATAGTACTGGGGATTGAACCCACCTCTCCCCACATGCTAAGCAAGAACTCTATCCAACTTCTTAAGCTTTTCTGGATTTTGGAGACAAATAGTAATTAAAACACAACCCAGGGCTGGGATTGTAGCTCAATGGTAGAACACCACTTGCCTAGCATGTGTGAGGCACTAGGTTTAATCCTCAGCACCATATAAAAATAAATAAAGGTCTACTGACAACTAAAAACAAACAAACAAAAAAACTCAAAAAACAAGACAATCTAGATGTGCTCAGTAGTTAATGTGGTTAAGTGCCCCTAGGTTCTATACCTGGTACTGAAAAAAAAAAGACAAACCAGCATCATGTTTTCTGGCTGAGACAGTAATAGCTTCTAAAGTAAATCATCATGGTTAGCAACACATGCCTGTAATCTCAACAGATATAATCCCAACAGCCTCAGGAGGCTGAGGCAGGAGGAATGTGAATTCAAAGACATCCTCAGCAAGAGCAAGTTAGAGTGGCCCTAAGAAACTTAGCAAGACCCTGTCTCAAAATAAAAAATAAAAAGGGCTGGAGATGTGGCACAGTTGTTAAGCACCCTGGGTGCCTGGGTGATTCAATCCCCAGTACCAAAAAAAAAAAAAAAAATTATGATTCTGCAAATCTAGGCTGGCACCCAACATCTCCAATGGCCTACACACCTCATGATCAGGGTCAATGAAAAGCCAGCTATTCGGGAGTTCTTCCTCCCCACAAAAAGACACCCAGATGACCCTTTGGTCTACAAAATGCAAGGATTTGGTGCTGCCAGGACAAAAAGTCTGGAGGCAAGGTGGGTAGAGAGGAAGAAGACTGGACCTGGGATATGCAGGTTTCCAAAACAATAGCCAGCAGTGCCAGCCACCACATGGGCCCCGCGGCCCGTGCACTGGATGTCCCGGATTCGGCCCCCTGTGCCCGTGGTTGCACCACTGAAGGGGGCTACTCCTGCAAAAAGAGAGTGGGGGAGGCATGAGTGTCACAGAGACAAACCTCATCCCTGACCACCCCCATGGAAATAAAGACAACAAGCTTTCTCTTTTTTCCCAGCCTCAGCCTAGATACCTGGGACCTTTGCCCTACCCTACTCTCTGATCTCCATCCCTCTCAGGAATACAGCTCACCTGTGGGGAAGTTGTGTGTCTCGGCTGTGAAGACAACATGTCTTAGCCCCTGCCGTTGCTGGAAGCAGCTTGGCTGTGAAGGATCCTCAGGTCGTAGGAATCGGACTTCCTTCCCCCGGATTGCACTGTGGACATGTCCATGCTGGACCCACTTCTTTCTCGAGATCTGTACTAACCCAACCAGGTTCCAGGGCTTCCCCCTCCCCAGACCCAAGGCACAAGCAACCTGCTGTTGTCACAGAACTTGAGGACATTGTTAGGATTCGAGGACATCTGGGTACTCATGATAGACTCAAACAGCGAGTGTGTCAACTTCTTTCCATCCACATGGAGCTGGCCCTTGAAGAACCAGTGTCGGCTGTGCTCACTGAGGGAATTACATGGAGAAAGGAAGGCAGAACAAAAACAGGAGTCATTCCTCAGTGCCATGTCCTCTCAATAGCATTCAGCAGCAGTTATGGCTTATTCACACTTAAATAGGTCAAAATACATTCCATAAGGTCAATCATCAAGCATTCTGTCACTGTGGATTATCCAGAGCCAAAGTAGAGATGAAACTAAGATCTGAAGACAGATTCCTGGATGGTTAGGGGGAGCCCAGGCCCTCAAAGACTCAGAAAGGCCATTACACCAAGGAAGAACTATGAAGCCAAGTCCCCATGGTCTACCCTTTTAACCTGTAGGAGCTCATATATCAAAATGACCAAATTTGTCCTCACCTATTGGACTGAGCCAAGTCAAAGGCCTCCACAGTGCTGGGATTCCGCTGTAGTTCCTGGAAGCGCTTGGTATAGAAATCCAGGTCCCAGGAGTCTAGAGCCAGACCTATAATACAAACCCCAGAAAAGTTTACTATATGGCTCAGGTCACCTTATTCCAAGTCTCAACGTATCTACTGGCATTCTAGTATCCTGGGTCTTTCCCTTCCATTCCCACAGACTCCTACTCACCTAGCTCCTGGTTGGCCTTCTCCAGGGCAAGCCGACCCTCAGCTAATATGTTGATGGGGCCATTCAGGGGGGCTGGGATGCTTTCAGGGGAGAAGCTCTGGATGGGATGGGGAAAGTGCTGCTCTGTCATCCGGTCATGCAGGGCAGCCAGAGCCACGGTCTCCACCTCAGCTGAAGGGTGGTAGGCAAACTAAGAATGACACACACACAGAAGGCAAGGGATGAAGAGTGAACTGAAGAATGGAGGGAATACTCCACCCTTGGCTCTCCAAATATACAATGCTAGTCCACTGCTACCCTACAGCACCCCCCCCCTTTTTTTTTTTTTGCAGTGCAGGGGATTAAACCCAGGGCTAGGCATCCCCAGGCCTATATAGCACCTGTGTCTAGACAACAAAAAGAAGACTCCCCTTCCAGGAATGAGTCCGTGCTATGATGCATAAATTAGCAGAGGAAACACAGACTGGATTTCTATCCTATTCATCCCTTGATAAGGAATCTTTGGATAGTGACTAATTCATACAATAATGAAGAACAGGTCCAAAGCCAGGAACTCTTCCCTTGCTTCTCCCATTATTTCCCTAGATCTTAGGATCTAATCTCTTCTAGTACACTTCCTCCTAATCACCCATTGCCTCACCGAGAGCCGGTAGCGTCGGGTAATCTCCACACGATTTACAGCTCCCAGCCCTGAGGCCTGGCACACAGAAACGATGTTGGTGGATGTTGGAGTACAGAAGTTCAGCCTGAGAAGTGGGCCAAATGGTTAGGATCTTGCTAGAAAGGCAGATCCTATCCATCCTGTCCAGCCAATCTTCCATCACTATCCCCTCACCAATGGTCTCCAACCTCAGACTGGGCTCCAAGAAACCTGCTTTCAAGTCACTCAGATCAAACTATAACTATCCTCTAGGCAACTCAGTGAGACCCTATCTCTAAATAAAATACAAAAAATAGGGCTGGAGATGTGGCTCAGTAGTCGAGTGCCTCTGAGTTAAATCCCTGATACCCCCCAAAACAAACAAACAAACTATAACTATCCTTCTAGCAATAAAACTGCTGCAATTTAGGGGCTAGAGCTGTAGCTCACCAATAGAATGCTTCCTTAACATGCACAAGGCCCTAGACACAAACCTCAGCACTAAAAAGTCAAAAACTGCCACAATTTTAACTTCTCAGAATACAAGTTATTTTACTTTCAGAATATATCTGACAGCTGGCTCAATCTATAAACGCATGTACCACATGGAGAAAATATGTGCAGTTTCCAAGGAAGGGAGTAAGATGTAATGAAAGCAAAACAAACTCCTGAGGATCACAAGAGGAACTTACAATGGAAGTGGAAGGGATATGCAGTGAATTCAAAAGAAAGGCTATGTCCTAGTTAGTGAAACAAACTGCCCCAGGTTAAAACACATACCTGGGCCCAACTTCCAGCAGCAGGTCATTGGAACCTGGAAGGAGCCAGGACTTTTGAGCAACATCATCCAGCAACAACGGGCAGCCAAACAGCCATTTCAGCTTCTTTATTTCCTCAGCATTTGGGAAGGCCTCAGCTACAGGGAGACAGAGCAAGGATACATTAAGATACTACATGTGGCACTATAGCACTTCATTCAAGCATCCAATACATAGGCCCAACCTGTCCAGTCCACATTGTAACAGAGTTCTGTCTCAACACCCTGCAGCTCTGGTAGTTGCCTTTGTACTTTCTGTAGAGTGTGTCCAGTCGCTGCTCCTTCATGGCCAGAGGGTCGGACATAGAAGTGAAGGACTGGGGCCATCTTTGCAGGTGTCCTTTCAGGGAAGAATTAGTTTCCTTTAAAAAAAAATTAAACAAACAAACAAACAAAAAAAATTAAGGCTGGGGATGTGGCTCAGTGGTTAAGCACCCTGGGTTCAATCCCTGGTACCAAAAAAAAAAAAATTTAAAGCTTTCTTGTTGAACTAATTTCAAGTTTCAAGGACAGTCGAGACATTAGTATTAGGTTAGGGGAAAATAACATGGGCACTCAGAGAAAGGGTAACCAGGAAAAGGTAGGCTTCTAATCTACTTCACTCATTCAACCATGATCACACTCGGAGCTCACAGATATACACTGCCTCTTCCCAAGAAGTGTGAGAACACAATGTGGACAACTCAAACTTAACTTATTAAAAACTGAATTCAGGACTGGGGATATAGCTCAGTTGGTAGAGTGCTTGCCTCACATGCACAAGGCCCTGGGTTTAATCCCCAGCACCACACACAAAAAAAAAAAAAAAATTCACCCTTAGCATGCTAAGGCCCTGGACTTGATCCTTGGCACCACAAAAAGAAAAAAACAAAAAACTGAATTATTTGACTACTACTTATGTCCTGGACATAAGGACCAAGGATTGTGATATTGCCAATCTAGAGGTCACTTTAACAGTTCTTATCTTACTAGACGTCTCAGCAACATTTGACTTACTCATTCCCTACTTTTTGAAACAACACCCTCTCTGGCTTCAGTGACACCACACTTTCCTGGTATCTTTCCCACCTTCTGGTTGCTCCTTTTGGGTCATTTTTGCTGGTCATTTGGGTGCCCAGGGCTCTCTTCTTACTTCTCTTCTATTTCTTAAGTGACCTCATCCAGTCCTAATTTTAAATATTATCTGGTAGAATGAACAAATGAAATTGCCAGCATTCAACAATTTTTGGCCAAAACAGTAATTTCTTATGGTTCAAGTTAATATTTGCCAATGAATTCTATAACTTTACCCAACACTGACGATTCCTGAAATTCCAGATAAGTACATTCAAAAGCTTGTGGTATCTCTACACACTGATGTCTCATAAACACAGCAAATATCTGTTATGGCCAAAACAGCAATTCTTTTTTTTTTAGTTGTTGATAGACCTCTTATTTATTTAATGCAGTGCTGAGACTCGAACCCAGTGCCTCACACATGCCAGGCAAGTGCACTACTGCTGAGCCACACCCCCATCCCCCAAACAGGAATTTTTATTTATTCTCCAGAGTTGCTATTCCCCATGTCAGTAAACACTACCATCATCTAATTAATTGCTCATCTAATTAATTAATTTAATTAGAGTTGACCTAGGGATGTAATTCAGTGACAAAAAAAACTTGCCTAGCAGGTTTTTCCTTCAGTCTCTCTAATCTATTTCCAAATAGCCCTCAAATCTCATCTGGACTACTACACTCTAGTCCAAGCCTCCCCTCTCCACTCACCTGGATCAACGTACTGGCTTTGGGAACAGAGTATGATTCCACCTCTGCAAAACCACAAACCATTTGCCACATGTCAGCATAAAGATGATGGCTTCCCATCACACATGGTATAAAATTTCAACTCAGTGCTCTGGATTACCTGGTCTGGCCACCTCTTCAACCCTATCTCACCCACTCTGCAAGGATCCCACTAGGTTCTACTGTATTCCTCTAACTTACCAAGCTCGGTACTAAAAGGCATTTTTTCCTCTAACTTACCAAGCTCAGTACTAAAAGGCATTTTTTTTTTTCCACCCTTATATATGCATAGTTAGTTATTTTTTCTCTTTTGGTACCAGGGATTTAACTCAGGGGCACTGGACCACTGAGCCACAGCCCTAGCCCTATATTTTTGTATTTTATTTAGAGACACAGTCTCACTGAGTTAGTGAGTAGCTTTTTGCTGAGGCTGGCTTTGAACTCAGGATCCTTCCTGCCTCTCCTCCGGGGAGTTGCTGGGATTAGAGGCATGTACCACCCCGCCTGCATGGCTAGTTCTTTATAGTTATTTAGATTTCAGGGAAAATTCACCTGCTTGGAAAGGCCTTATTGGACTAGCCAATCTTAAATAGCCACTCTCAGATGGCTCTGGTTAACTTCTTATATAGCATTCACCCCAATCTGACATTTTTATTTACTTTTCACTCTATATTCCCCCCTAAAACAAAATCTGTCTGCATGTGCTGAAGCTGCTTCATCTTCGTTTAATCACCAAAGCTTGAGCAATTCCTGGGGCTTACTTTTTTAACATAAAGCTTAAAAAGTAAATAAATGAAAACGTGTTGCCTGAGTCAATGAATTCTTGGTTCCCACCACTTCTCTGTCCCTCTCTTCTTTCAGGGCAGTCTTCCTGAAACCATTTTATTTAGCTTTTCATAGGAGGGGCGCGGTGGCAGATGCCTGTAATCTCAGGGGCTCGGAAGGCTGAGGCAGGAGGATCCTGAGTTCAAAGCCAGCCTCAACAAAAGCGAGGCACTAAGCAACTCAGTGAGACCCTATCTCTAAATAAAATACAAAATAGGGTGGGGAATGTGGCTCAGTGGTCGCGTGCCCCTGAGTTCAATTCCCGGTACAACCCCGAACCTCGCCGCCAAAAAAAAAAAAAATCCCAGTGCAATATTCCTAATGATTAGCATGGTGCCTGATATAAAACAGGTGGTTGACAGATTTTTTTTGCTGAACTAAAGACTCGGGAGCCAAGTCTGAGCGGTCAGGCACCCACGTCCAGCGTCTGCGGAACGCGCACACGAGGGGATGAAAGGATACCCCTACTACAGCAGGCACACGGGCCCCAGTTGCACTCAGCTCGGCCTGGTGGGGATACTGAAGCGGCCTGGACTGGACTTGGGATGGGTGACAAAGAGCTGCACCACTAAATGGCCTTAAAGCCAGCATGCGGTACATATACTCACGGGAAAGCTGTCCACGCTGCGCCTATGCCACACGAAGCTTGGCGCGTTTCGCGTCATCTATGTGCGACGCCTGCGGGAGGAAGTGAACTGGAAATGCCCCGCACACTTCCTCCAGTAGTAGGTGAGCGGCTTCGCAGCCCTGCAGCTGTTCTTGACCCAAGCTCTTTGGGGTCGGATTGTCTTCCTGGTGGTTTCTTTTTCTTTTTCTTCTTTCTTTCACTCTTCTTTTCTTTCTCCCGCCCTCTCTCCCTCTTTTTTTCTTCTTTTGCGGTACTGGGGATTGAACCCAGAGGAGTTCTACCACTGAGGTACATCCCCAGCTCCTTTTAATAATCATTTATCTTTTTTTTTTTTTTTTTTTTTTTTTTTTTGAGACAGGGCCTTATTCAATTGAGAAGCAGGCCTCAAACTTGTGATGCTCCTGCCGCAGCCTCAGCTGGGATTAAAATCGTGCATCGGCCATCGAGCCTGGCTCCCATTTGGTCTCTTCACAAATCCTCCTTGAATTGACATTTGTAAAAACACATTCAGTTCCGTGTCCTCGACTCTGTTAGTCTTTTTTTTTGTTGTTGATGTTGGTCTTGTGCAAATGACAAATATTTTGAACGCAGGAGACGGAATGAGAAGCTTTTTCTGCGTCCAGGATTCAGTTTCCCTCCCCCTTACCCTTTGACTTTCTTGGGATGAAAGTATGTATATAGTATGTATGTATTTTGAATAAGAGAGGCTGAGGCAAGAGGAACTTCATAGCCAACCTCAGCAATTTAGTGAGGCCCTAGGCAACTCAGCATGACCCTGTCTCTAAATAAAATATAAAATATGGCTGGGGATGTGGCTCAGTTATTAAGCGCCCCTGAGTTCAATCCCCAGAACTGGGAAAAAAAGAAATGATATATGGATGTGGAAGCTGAGGCTTGTTACAATGGCTTGTTGCATAGTTTTGTAATATAAATGCTTAACACTTTCTACCTTTGAACAGTTTTTTTTTTTTGTATGTTTTTAAAACCTTATAAAGCATGAATATACGTTTCTATTAAAACCTATCATCTGGGCACGGTGGTCGCTCACCTGTAATCCCAGCGGCTCCCAAGCCTCAGCAAAAGCGAGGCACTAAGAACTAAGTGATACCCTATCTCTAAATGAAATACAAAATAGGGCTGGGAATGTGACTTAGTGGTCAAGTGCCCCTGATACCCACCCCCCAAAAAATGACCTATCAGAAGCTGGGTGCAGTGGCACACACCTATAATCCCAGCAGCTAGGGAGACTGAGGCAGGAGGATCTAGAGTTCAAAGCCAGGGCTGGGGATGTGGCTCAAGCAGTAGCGAGCTCTCCTGGCATGCGTGCGGCCCGGGTTCGATCCTCAGCACCACATACAAACAAAGATGTTGTGTCCGCTGTTCAAAGCCAGCCTCTGCAATTTAGGGACACCCTACCTCTAAAAATCAAAAAAGGGGTCAGGGACTGGGGATGTGGTTGAGTGCAGGGGGTTTCAATTCAATTTCCAATACCAAAAAAAAAAAAAACCCAAACTATCAGAAAACAGGAACCAGCAATGTATGGTGGCTGCTACTGAGTAGAAAGTTGATACAAGTTGATACCCCTTCTAGGCTTGAGAAGATAAAGGGAGGAAATAATGTTAACAGGAGCTGGAGGCACCCCACCATCATAAGTACAGTGTTAAAAGAAAATAATTACTGGATTCTCTCTTCCTTCTGTCTCATCTCCATGTAAATTTTGTTTTGTTTTGTTTCCTTTTTTCTCTGTTCCTATTCCTGTGCAAATTGTCTTTGTCTCTTGTTAGCCAAACTTACCCTATAAATAGCCTAGTTTCAGCTGGGCTTGTTGGCCTAGAACTGTAATCCCAGGGGCTAGGTAGGCTGAGAGAAAAAGATCACAAGTTCAAAGCCAACCTCAGCCATTTATGTATGTATTTATGTGTGTGTGTATGTATGTATGTGGACTGAGGGATACCAGCAATTGAACTCAGGGTCACTCAACCACTGAGCCCCAGCCCTATTTTGTATTTTATTTAGAGGGGTCTTAACTGAGTTGTTTAGTGCCTCACACTTGCTGAGGTTGTTTACCGGTGACAGTCCTTGCTTCCTGAATGCTGAAGTATAACACCAGAGAAGCACGCTAAGGCAAGTGTAGAGTGGAAAGTGGAAGGCTTTATTAAAGGACAGCAGAAAAGACTTCTCCCCGGAGGAAGAAGGGGACCCGAAAAGCTAAATCCGTGGAAGGGGGAGGTCTTCCCTTTTAGTCTTCCCACATTCAAATCTTTTGTTTCTCTTTATCCTGCAGTGTTAGAATGCAGGTGGGAAGGCTAAAAGGTGGGAGATAGGTGGACTGAAAGAGTAATCTGGGCAGGAAGGGCCTGGGGTGGTTTGATTAACACTTCCCTGTTTGCTGGGAGCTGTTTCTTTAACAGTTCCTTGGGAAGGGTTCTGGTCTTGGGGACATTAACATTTCAATTTCCCCAAGTGCTGCTCTGGTTTCCTGGACTCCATTCTCAATAATGGCCTCCATTTTATTTATCTTTCTCTATATTAGAATCGATTTACCTAACTACACTAACTACCTATCTTTAAATCTGGCTTCAATATCATGTGTCTATCAATATCTCTCTTTAATCTTCTTTTATTTATTTAGTTATTTTGGAACCAGGGATTGAACCCACAGGTGCTTCACCACTGAGCTATGTCCCCAGCCCTTTTTATTTTTTATTTTGAGACAGAGTCTCACTAATTTGCTTAGGGCTTTGCTAATTTGCTGAGACAGGCTTTGAATTTGTGATTCTCCTGTTTCAGCCTCTTGAGCTGCTGGGATAACGGGTGTGCACCATACCTGGCTATATGACAAGCTATTTCTTGTTTTGTTGTTTTTTGTTTGTTTTTGACTGGGGATTGAAACCAGGGGTGCTTAACTACTGAGCCACATCCCTAGCCCTTTTTTATATTTTATTCAGAGAGAGGGTCTCACTGATGTGCTTAGGGCTTCACTAAATTGCTGAAGCTGGCTTTGAACTTGTGATAAACCTGACTCAGCCTCCTGAGCTGCTGGGATTATAGGCCTGAGCCAGCATGCCCCACCCCACTTTAAGCTTCTTTTAATCACTATAAAAATATATTCTGTAAACTAGCAAAGTACATAGGCACTAATTAACTGGATTTACAGTACTCTAAGATTAACTGGACTTTTTAAGAATTCAGATCTGGAAGAAAATAGATGTGGGTGTGAAGGTGAGGTCAGTCATGGAGTTTTTAGATTTAAAGCTCTAGTTCCTCTTGCCTTCCCTATTTATCTTTTTACCTATCCTGATTTCTTCCATCCTACCTCCCTCCCATGGCCTTGAAAACTGATGCACTTTTTAAATCCTAATTTTCTGGTATGACTGTTAACCTTATAAAATTCATAACTATCCTGGTGCAGTGGAGTGTATCTGTAATCCTAGTGGCTCAGGAGGCTGCGGCACAAAGATCATGAGTTCAAAGTCAGCCTCAGCAATTTAGTGAGGCACTAGGCAACTCAGTGAGACCCTGTCTCTAAATAAAATATTAAAAAGGGCTAGAGATGTGGCTCAGTGGTTAAGTGCCCCTGGGTTCAATCCCTCATACCAAAAAAGAGAGGGAGAGAGAGACTGAGAACTAGCTTGGCTGTCTTATTTGTCCCTTAATTCTAAGAGGCCTTGTTTTTCATGGGAGTCCTTGACTATCATTAGAGCACCCTGGGTTCTTCCCCTAGCACTGCAAAAAAATAAATCTTAACTATGGGGTGGTGGTGGATTCAATACAGCTTTCTGCAACCACTGTAGCCCAAATTCAGCTCTTTCTTCTATAAGCCATCAAAAATAAATCCCAGGGGCTAGGTTTGTGGCTCAGTGGTAAAGTGCTCGCCTAGCATACATGATCCTCACCACCACATAAAAATTAAATAAAGATATTGTGTCCACCTACAACTAAAAAATAAAAATAAAAAAAAGTAAATCCTAGGCCAGGTGTGGTGGTGCACACCTGTGACCCCAGATACTTGGGATCTAAGCTGAGGCAATAGTCTTAAGTTCAAGGCCATCCTGGACAACTTAGTGAAACTGAAAGGATAAAAGAAACTGAAGTTAAAATGTAAAGGACCAGGTATTGTAAAGTTTCTGAACTGCACTCAGAACCTGAAATTCCTGTGGCAGTTAAGACAATTCCCAGAACTGCCCATTAGATATGTGTCGAAATCGCGCTGACCACTTAGTTGCTTAACAACCTGGACCCTGTGCAGCTCGGCACATAGGCACCTCAGGGCCCAAACCAATCAGTTTAAATGTATCCCCCTCCTTAGGACTGACCTATCACTCTCACCCGACCTGTTCCCGCCAATGAATGTGCTAATCATGTCTGAGAGTTGTTGTTTGATTTTCCTGCACCTCATGATGATTTGCTCTGATGTATGCAAAGCCCCTGCCCTCCCCAAAAAGTGTACTTAAGCACTGCTTAACCCCTGCTCGGGGCTCTTGGCCGCTCTCCTTTCTTGAGTGAGCACGGAGCCCCAGCGCGCTGGATTTTCAATAAACCCCCTTTTGCTGTTGCATGAGTCAGTCTCTTGGTGGTCTCTTCCTCCGTCATTCGCCGGTCCCTTACAAAACCTCGACTCAAAGTAAAAATTAGAAAGGACTAGGGATGGGGCAGGGGTTGTAGCTCAGTGGTAGAGCACTTGCCTAGCATATGGGCTTGATTCTCAGCACACATATAAATAAAATAAAGGTCCATCAACAACAACAAAAAAAAAATTTTAAAACATTATTTAAAGAAAAAACAAAAAAGAAAAAAACTAGGGATGTAGTTGAATGCTACAGTACCTACTATATGAGGCCCAGGGCCACTAGAGGAAAAAACAAAAGGTAAATCCCAAGATATGAGGCACATCCTTGTATTTATAATAAATAGAGGAGGGTCTGTCAGAGTTGAGAAAATACTGAAAGCAAAAAGATTAGGTTAGGGGCCTTGGCTAGGTCCAATAAATGCTTTAATAAAAAGGTCAGTGGATAGTGGCATGGGAGAGTTTCAGTTTCAGCTTCTAGCGGATTGATTGATTGATTCATTCATTCATTCATTCATTCTTCTGCTTCTTCCTCCTCTTCTGGTTGAAAGCTAAGTAGCATATGTCTAATGTAATATGGAAAATAATAAATAATTATAAAACAAATATTCATTTGATGTCCAGTAAGGTTTTGTTTTTATTTTATATTTATTTATTTATTTATTTATTTATTTTTTGAGATGAGGTCTCACTGTGTGGCCTATGCTGGCCCTGAACTCCTCTCCTCTAGCAATCCTTCCAGCCTTGGCCTCCCAGTAGCTGGGCCTACAGGCACATGCCACTGCACTTGACTCCCAAAATTTATTATATAAAGAACTTGTCATCACAGTGCATATCTAGTGCATCAAATATAGAATAGAGAGAAGATCTGCACCAAAAGTGAAGTTAAGGAGCTGGGGCTGTAGCTCAGTACCGAAGCACTTGCCTCATATACATGTAGGCCCTGGCTTAGAGTCCCAGCATTGCAAAACAAACAAAAATAAAGTTGAACTGGTTGTGGTGGTGCATGACCATAGTTAAAATTTTTTTTTTTCTTTTAAATAAGTTGAGTCAGTCTTAGTGGTGCATGCCTGTAATGCCAGTGACTGGGAAGGTTAAGTATCACAAGTTTGAAGCCAGCCTCAGCAACTTAGCAAGACCTGTCTCACGATAAAAATAAATAGCAAACAAGTTGAATGAGGAGATAGAATTAGTTGGTTTTGTAGAATTAGTTTTTTGGTTTTTTTTTTTTTTTTTGGCACCAGGGATTCAACCCAGGAACACTTAACCAGAGTCCTAGTCCTTTCTTACATTTTATTTAGAGATAGTCTATGCTAAATTGCTGAGGCTGGCTTTGAACTTGTAATCTTCCTGCCTCAGTCTCCAGAGCTCACCACTGCACCTGTCAAATTGAAGGCTTTTTATTCTCCCATTAAAAAAACCAGAGCATTCTTGTTATCTAAAATGTTTATACTATTTTATAATTGAGGCTTGTTCTCATTCTGAAAATGATTTGAAGCAGGCTTATGCTTACTGCAGCCTTAAATGCCTCTGTCAGGTAGCTGTTTAATCTCTACTCCTCCCCTCCAGCCTCATTGACTTCCTTCATTTCTTCCCACCACAGGGTCTTTGTCCTTGTTCCCTCAGTTTGTTCTCCCTGACCCCCAACATTCATATCCTTCATCTCCTTCAAATCTTCAAGTTTTTTTTCAGTACTGGGAATTGATTCCAGGGGTGCTCTACCATTGAGTTACATCCCCAACCCCACTTTTTTTAGTACTGAGGATTGAATGTACCCATGCTTAATCACTGTGACACAGCCTCAGCCCTTTTTATTTTTTATTTATTTATTTATTTATTTATTTTTTGAGACAGGGTCTTACAAAGTTGCTTGGGGCCTCCTTAAATTGCTGAGGCTGGCTTTGAACTTATGATCCTCCTGCCTCAGCCTCCCAAGCCTCTGGGATTACAAGTGTGCACCCCTATGCTCGGCCTCCAAACTCTTTTATTTATAAATAATAAATAAAATAAAAAACGTTGGGCACATAGCCAGAACAGGGCCGAGCCACCACCCAACAATGGCGACCATGCCTAGGGCTTTAGGCTCTAGGCTTCCGGGTTCTTCTTCCTGTCTAAGAGAAGGGGCCTGCCAAAAGAGCCTACCAAAAGAGCCCAGGAGCCCAATAGAAAACTGACAACAGGTGCACCAACCATAACCACACACACTTCCCGTGGGGGACGTTTCAGTCCCTAAAACCCACACTGCTGCTGCTGCAGACGCTTTTGCCTCTAGTGTAGCCTACGCTGAATAAACTGATCTCTGGACGACCTGGTGTGCTCCTTCACTGAGTGGTTGGGGTCTTCGAGGGTCTTTCAAATAATAAAATAAAAACAATTTTTATTTTATTTTTTGGTCCTGGGAATTGAATCCAGGAAGGCTTCACTACTGAGTTACAGCCCCAATCATTTTTATTTTTAAATCTGAGACAGGGCCTTGCTAAGTTGCTGAGGGTCTCTATCAAATATGGATACTAACCTTCAACTTTCCATCCTCATGCCTCAGCCTCCCCAGTCACTGGGATTTCAGGCATCACCATGCTCAGCCCTTTTTATTTGAGACAATAATTCCAGGGTTTTGCTGAGCCTGGCTTTGAACTTGCAATCCTCCCACTTGAGCTTCCCAAGTAGCTAGTATTACAGGTGTGGACCACTGCACCGGCTTCACTCAACGCTTTACTTTTTTTTTTTTTTTTTAGTCTTTTCAGTAAGACTTTCATTATGCAAATGAAACACATCACCCCCTGCATTTTCTACTTTTCTTTTCATAAACTTATTATTAACATTTTACATATTTTGCCTCTGTGCTCTCCAGGGTCTACAAAGCTGTGCACTGATTGGCGGGTAGACTGAATTGGAAGATCAGGAAGTTTTCATTAATCCACAATTTTTCGTCAATTGTTTTTTTTTAAAGCAACAAGTACTATTCCTGACACCAGAATACAAAGATAGAACAAAGTTCTTGACTTCTGGGAGCTCACAATCGAGTGGGGGAAGAGTTAAATTCTATGTGAGTTAAGGCCATGACACAAGTATGGACCACGTGATCTAACTGCATTAATGAGGAAGCTCTTCTCCGGCAAGATCAGGAAGACTGAAAGATGCTTAGAAATTATCAATCTTGTGGGCGGTGTCTGAGCTTCTGAGCTCTCCCACAACATCCCACGCGGAGGTCTAAAAAACGCCAGACAGGAAATCACGGTAGTACTGAGACGGCGAACTTGGGGAGCCCAGGCAGAGGAACTAAGAAAGATACTGAGGACGTGAAGTGGGAGGAGCCAGGACGCGCTCAGATGACGTCATCAAGAGGCCTCCGGTGGTCTCCTGCGCCCCGCGTTCGCGCGTTTTTCAGGGGCGGAGCTTTGGCGCATCATGGCGGCTGGCCAGGCTCAGGCTCCTAGCTCCGTGAGTGCTGCTTTCTGGTCCCCCTGCCCCTTTTTTCTTGATCTAGATTTTATTTCCTCTCATGTTGCTTCCATTTTGTCTCTCTTCCCTCTCGACATTGCTGGTCGTGGTCGGGGGGTGGGGGACTGTCAGGCAGTTTGCTCCTACTTCTCTCACTGGTTCTGCAAATATTTTTAGGTTATTGGTGCTGCGCCCGCTGTGAACCTTAAGCGCGTCCCCATCCACTCTCTAGTGGCAAATCAGGAGCAGGTTAATGAGGGAGCTATGGGGATGTGGATTTCTGAAGGAGACCCCTGACGCAGCTGTACAGGAAAAGGAAGAAAAGCTTCAGTCTAGCAGTGTGTGTAGGAGTAGTTAGCAAAGCAAGACAGCACTGCAGACGTTACAAGGCGGACGGAAGTAAATACTTGTTGAACAGCAAGAGAGAGAGTAGGTGTCTTTAGAAAAAATAAGTTCAGCTGGGAATGGGCTTTGGAAGGATCCATGTCTTGCTGAACAGCACTTTTTACTGGGAGTTGTTTGGCGGATTTGGAGCAGAAGAGTAGGTGAGATTTGGGTTTTACTTTGCTTAAGTTGCAGTGTGGAGAGTTGGAAAGCTATGGTTGAAATATACTGAAAGAGGATGGTGGCCCCAAGGATGGCAGCAGTGTTGAAGGTTCCAGAGGTGAAGACAGGATAAAAAAGATAATAAAGAGAATCTAAAGGACTGATCTTGTTTAGGGAAAGGAAAGACTTAAGGAGCACATTCTGGTTTCGGATAAAACAACATTTTTTGTTAGTTCTGTATGCTAAATTAGTGAACAGAGCATTAAAGAGTGCTAGAAGAGCTAGGCTAAGTGATGCATGTCTGTAATCCCAAGGACTGGGAAGACTGAGGCAGGAGGATCCCAAGTTTGAGGCCAGCATATTTTTGTGTGTATTTAGCTTTTAGTAACTCAAATCCACACAACAGGAAAAAGAAATGATTAAAAATTATATTCTGCTTATGTCTTTTTTTGTGTATTGTCCACTATCAGGAGGCATATTTTTATGTATTATAGGATAGTATGTCCTTTCCTTTTGTTTTTGTTTTTTTCTTCAGTGCTAGGGATAGAATACCTAGGGCCTTGCACAGACTAGACAAGTGCTCTACCAGGGAACTACATTCTTGCCCTGAACTAAGACTTAAGGCTTCAAGTTCTAACTTTACTTTTGATCTTCATTTCTTATGCCCTCTGGATTTTTTCCCCCTATTCCTTTATTACCCAAAGATTCCTTGGGGCCAGAATAGTCATTAAAATGTTATAATCAGATTTACTTTTCCTCAGGAGCAAGCCTGGCTTGAAGCTGCCCAGACCTTCATCCAAGAGAGCCTTTGTCCAACTGGCAAGGGACCTAATGTCCAGTTCACTCAGTCAGTGATTGACTGTGTGAAGACTGTTTGGTTGTCCCAGGGGAAGAACCAAGGTTTTACACTGCCCCTCAGCTACAGGTATGAAAGTGGAGGTTGGCAGGAAGAATGAATTTGGGATTAAAAAGGAATTACCTATAGTTATAAAGAGGGGGCGTGAGAAGAGTGAGTGGAGAACACAGTGGTCTACATACAACCTCTTCTATAGAACTTTCCTATTCTCCATCTAACATTCCTTTTCCTAAAATTCTCCTAAATTGGCTTAAGTCAAGTTTATGGAAAAGGAGAGGAAGAAAGAAGAAGTGGGAAAATTAGAAAATTTGGAAAAAGAGCTCTCAAAGTGGGGAGAGAAGCTGGTATTCTTTTCATTTTGTGTATTTGGAAACTTAGATACAAAGAAATGTTGACTTTATGAAATATGGATTATTGTTTTTAAGACCTGAAGTTAGGTCTTCTGAGCTTTTTTAAAAATTAATTTGGGTTTTCTACTACACTACCATTTCATAAACTGTACTAGGCAATGTTAATAAAATACCACAAGAAAAGAATTTCATGGCCAAATAAATTGAGAGGTTCTGAATATAATAACATTCCCTGGGAGAGTCACAGGGCTTATTAATATATCCAGGGCTCTGAAAAATTCTGCAGAAAGAAACTTTTTTACCTCCTCATAGAAATGACCATTATCTTGGAGACAGGTTCTGTTATCCACATCTATAATCGTAGCTATTTGTGAGGCTGAGTCAGGAGGATCACATGTTTGAGGTCAGCCTTGACAACTTAGCAAGGATATCTTGACAACAATTGTCAGCCTTGACAACAAGCAATTATATCTCAAAACAAATACAACAACAAAAACAAACCCCTTGGGGCTAGGATTGTGGCTCAGCTATAGATGGCTCGCCTAGCACATGCGAGGCCCTAGGTCTGATCCTCAGCACCACACAAAAATAAATAAATAAAATAAAGGTATTATGTCCAACCACAACTGAAAAATAAATATTAAAAAAAAACTGTCTTAAACATGAGGTATATTATTCCCATGAATATGTTTACATTTTTACTACACATACATCTATCCCTAAGTAGTCTATAGTAGAGTTTTGTGTATCTTTAGATTTTATAAAAGTGGCACTGAACCTTACATTTTCTCTCTAATTTGCTTTTTGTGCTTAACAATATGCTTCTGAGATTTATTTATATTGATCCATGTAGATCTAATATTTATTTTTACTGTTCTATGATATTCTGTTGTGTAAATAGACATTTTACTGTCTATCATTTAAAAAAATTTAAAACGTAAAAATATGTTTGACTTCATTTGTCATTTCCCAAATTTACCTGAGCATAGGATACTCTTTCCCTGGCATTCCTTTAAACTACCTGTGGCAGTATGGGACATTTCCCACAACCTGGCTATGTGTGTGTTGCTCAGTAAAGGAAAAGAAACTTTGGTGAGAAGATAGCTTAGTTATAATTTATTTTCTGAAACATAGTTTTAATAATTCTGTATAATTTTCTCATCCACGGAATTAAACCAATGATACTTAAAATGTTGGTCTGCTGGAACGTGAATCAACACACTGCTTCCTTTGTTGAGAAGGCATCTGTGTGTGTGTATGTGTGTGTGGTGCTGGGAATCCATAGAGGAAAGTCTTGCCTGTGAAAAGATTTAGCTGATAAAAAAAAAAGTGCTAGAGACATTGTGTTTAGTCATATACTTATTACTCAAGGTTAACATTTTGCCATATTTGTGTTAGTTATTTTTTGTATGATATAAAAGATTTAGTGAAGTCCCTTAATAACCATCCTGATCCTGTTCTCCTATAATCCTTCTTTGAAAGTTACTACTGTTCGTGCCATCAATCTTTTTTTTTTTTTTGGGGGGGGGGGTACCGGGATTGAACTCAGAGGCACTCAACCATGAGCCCCAGCCCTATTTTGTATTTTATTTACAGATAGGGTCTCACTGAGTTACTTAATATCTAGCCTCAGTTTCCCAAGCTTCTGGGATTACAAGCATGTGCCATGCACCCAGCTACACCATTAGTAGTCATACCAGCTTGTACACATAGCAGAATACATCTCTAATTTTTTTTTTTTTTATACCAGGGAATAAATATGGGGGCACTTCACCACTGAGGTACATCTCCAACCCTCCTCATTTTTTTTTTTTTTTTAGGTACTGGGGATTGAACTCAGGGGCTCTTGACCCCGAGCCACATCCCCAGACCTGTTTTGTATTTTATTTAGAGACAGGGTCTCACTGAGATGCTTAGTGCCTCACCATTGCTGAGGTTGGCTTTGAACTTGTGATCTTCCTGTATCAGCCTCCCAAGCTGCTGGGATTACAGGTGTGCAGCACTGCATCTGGCCATCTCCAGCCCTTTATATTTTTTATTTTGAGATTTTTGAGACAGGATCTCACTAAGTTGCTTAGGTCCTTGCTAAATTGCTAAGACTGACCTTGAACTTGTGATCATTGTACCTCAACCTTCCAAGTTGCTAGGATTACAGGTATGTGTGTACCATTGCACCCAGCTTTTTTTTTTTTTTTTTGGTGCTAGGGATTGACCCCCAGGCTTTATACGTGCGAAGTACGTGCTATACCACTGAGCTATACCCCCATTGATAATTTAACTATTATTTGTATCATATCCAGTACGCACCATCTCAGCCTCAGCTTCCCAGCTGGTCTCTAGTACTGTGATATTCCATACTATGCAGGAAACTTGGCTGGGGCCATTGGAGTTCTCTATGGAGCTAAGAGCTGAGATGCTTTCAGGGGAGCTATTTGTGATATCTGTAAAGTATTCTCCACACACTCATTTCTTCAGGGCCCCCTCCCCCACTTTCCTACTTCATGTTCTCCCTGGCACCATATTGTTCAAAATATTCAGTGCAGACTTTCTTCTTGCATTCCCTGGATCTTTTCCAGTCACTGGACCCAGACCTCATCCTTATTTTTTCTTAGAGCTTTCCCCCCTCCCAATGTCCTTTTCACTCAAGCAAATAAACATGAGTTTATTTGTTTATTATCATGTCTAGTCATATTCCCTTTCAGTCCTTCCTTTCTCTTGGGGATAAGTCAGGGTTGAGGGTATCCTAGACTTAAACTCGTTTTGCAAAACCTCTGCTTTCTTCACTCTCCAGCTTTGTCTCAGTACAGAACCTCAGGACCTATCAGCGTCTCCCATGCTGCAGCCATCTGTCCTGGAGCAGCATTGCATACCAGACATGGGCCCCAGAGGCTAGGCCAAATGGGGTCCCTCTTCCCCGGGAGCGACTGTTACTTGTAGGAACATTAACAGACCTATCAGAGGACTTGGAACAAGGATGCAGGAATGGAAGCCTCTATGTGAGAGATAACACTGGTAGCCTGGGCTGTGAGGTAAGCAGAAGGGGAAGGTCAGATACTTCAGATCCAAATTAGAATGGTGCCTAGGGAGCAAGGTAGCTAATATATAGAAGAGGTGGATTGGATACTAGGGTCCAGGTTAACCTGTGCTCTTGTTTTTTTCCTAGCTCATAGACCTGGACCTTTCTTGGTTGGGCCATCTCTTCCTGTTCCCCAGTTGGAGTTACCTCCCTCCTGCCAGGTGGAATTCCTCAAAGGAAGGGCACTTGGAGCTCTGGGAAGCTCCTGTACCAGTATTTCCTTTGACTATCAGTCCTGGCCCTCTCACACCCATCCCTGTCTTGTACCCACAGATTGCATCCTGCCTGCTCAGGCATAGGTAAGTCTTCCCCTGTAGAGAAAGAAAAAATATTGTAAAGCTTGGAGGGTGATGGTGATTCATTGAAGAGAGGGAAATAATAGTTTTGATAATCATATAAATGGAATGTTCCTAATCAAGGGAACAGTGGAGGCTTAAAATATTAAGACTTAAAATATTAAGAGGCTTAAAATATTAAATAGGAGGATTCTTTGAAGGCAAGCAGAATTTGAAGGATTTAGAATAATACTTTGGGCTTTGGCTGTTTTACCTTTTACCAGATTGTTCCTTACAATGAGGGAAGACATTTGTATAAAGGGAAAAAGAAAAGTTGGGGAGGACGGACCTTCATTCTTTCCTTTCTCTTCCTTCTTAGAAGCAAGCTCAGAGGTGAGAAGCAAAATCTGGCCGGGAAGCTGATTCGATTGAGTGCTGTGGTGAAAAGTAAAAAGAAAGCATACTTTATCCTCTCTCTTGGTGAATTATCCCCAACTGTTAGCCAAGCCATCAACCATGTGTCCATTATCGTCCAGGTGAGGATTAGGATCCATTCAGGGGCCTTTCAGTATGGAAGGTGTTCTAATAGAAATAACATTGTAGCAGGAACCAGAAAGGAAAGGAAGACAGCCGGGGAGACTTGTTTTCTGGAACAGTACCATAGAAGGAAGATTCTAGATAGTGTTGTTGTCTGTAAGCAGGTAGGGAATAGATTTTGCTGCTGTGCAGTTCATTTGAGTAGGTGGCCTTTTCATTGTATTTGACATTTTTAAAAATTACCAGGGGCTGTTATTATATTTCCACAGTAGAGTATAGGTAACTATACTCTAACATTCCTAGCATGTGTAAGGCCCTGGGTCCATTCCCATACTGAGAAAAAAAAAAAAAAAAAAATCCCATGAAAAACCCAAAAAATTACCAAAATCACTTATTTTTCTCCTGCTTTAGGATGACCAAACAAAATTCAGTGCTGGGAATCAAACCCAGGGGTTGGTGCATATGAGGCAAACACTTTACTACTGAGCTATACCCCTTAGCTCCTGAAGCAATAGTTTTTGGGGAGGGTTGGAGGGGTACTGGAGATTGAACTCCTCGGGGACTTTACCACTGAGCTACATCCCCAGCCCTTTATATTTTGAGACAGGGTCTCGCTAAGTTGCTTACGACCTTGCTGAGTTGCTGAGGCTGGCCTTGAACTTGTGACCCTCCTATGTCAGCCTCCTGAGGTGCTGGGATGACAGATGTGTGCTATCATGCCCAGCAAGCAATAAGTTTTAAGTAAGGTCTAGCAGTACTTCGAGATGTGATGTCCAGGGTCTGATTGGTGATCTTCAGCTGGGTTTTAGTTTTTTTGTTTTGTTTTGTTTTGTTTTTGGTACAAGGGATTGAACTCAGGGGTACTCTACCACTGAGCCTATTTTGTATTTTATTTAGAGACAGGGCTCACTGAGTTGCTTAGTGTCTTGCCATTGCTGAGGCTGGCTTTGAACTCATGATCTTCCTGCCTCAGCCTCCCAAACTGCTAGGATTACTTACAGGCTGGTGTCACCCCGCCACCCTGCCCAGCTTTTTTTTTTTTTAATGTTTATTTTTTTAGTTTTTGGCGGACACAACATCTTTGTTTGTTTGTGGTGCTGAGGATCGAACCTGGGCCGCTCACATGCCAAGCCAGTGCGCTACCACTTGAGCCACATCCCCAGCCCCCCTTTTTTTTTTTTTTTAATATATGTATTTTTTTAGTTGTAGATGGACACAATGCTTTTGTTTTATTTATTTGTCTTTATATGGTACTGAAGAACAAACCCAGTGCCTCACACATGTGAGATAAGCGCTCTAGCACTGAGCCACAACCCCAACCCCTCAGCTGGGTTTTGAGTAGAATGGAGTTCTGTGAAGTTTAGCAAGATGATTGTGAAGTTCAAGTGTAATGAGTGTGTTTTGAAGCCTCTGAGAATGGCAGCAGTGCTTTTCTGCCTGTGGGAGGAGCATGCCCTAGAAGATCATTATATTCATGAGCAGTTTTATCCATAAAATTCCCTGAGGAAAAAGTTTTTTCAATTTCTTTAACAGTTGCCTTTCTCTAGTTCATATTATGCCCTGCATGGCATTTCTGGACTTTTTTCATCGTGGCGCTCCTGTTTTTTTTCCTCCTATAACCCCAAGAACATTCCCTTTTCTCACTTCACCTGTGTTTTCACTGCCCCCAAATTGTGCCTTGTACATTCAGAATTGTGAGCATTTTTTATTGTTGCCTCCTCGTTCAAGCGCTAGTCTCTTCCTTTTCCATTTATAAAAACCATGGGTAGACCATTCCATGTCTGAAATCCAAACTGCTCCAACATCGGATTATAAGTGGAATATTCCATACCTGACCTTATGTGATGGGTTGAAGTTAGAACACAGGTGCACTAAAAATATCAGATAAAACTACCTTCAGTCTATATGTATGAGGTATATGTACAACATAAGTGAATTTAAAGTTTAGACTTGGGTTCCATCCCCAAGACATTTTTTTTTTTTAGAGAGAGGGAGAGAGAGAGAGAGAATTTTTAATATTTATTTTTTAGTTATTGGCAGACACAACATCTTTGTTTGTATGTGGTGCTGAGGATCAAACCCGGGCCGCACGCATGCCAGGCAAGCGTGCTACTGCTTGAGCCACATCCCCAGCCCCCCAAGACATTTTGTATATGAATATGCAGATATTGCAGAATCTTAAAAAAAAAATCCAAAATTTGAAACACTTATGGTCCCAGGTATTTCAGATAAGGGTTACTCAGCTATATTATTCTTCAGGGCCCAGTTTAATTTATCTTCATTCAATAGGCTTCCCTGGTCATTCAGTCCATCCTGATGATCTATTCCCCCCCTCACCCAGCCTTTTTTTCCCCTTAGGGTGTTAGGGGTTGAACCTAGAGTTACTTTACCACTGAGGTACATCCCCAGTCCTTTATTTTGATTTGTTTTGAGACAGGGTCTCACTAAGTTACAGGCTGGCCTTGAACTTGCTTTCCTCCTGTCTCAGACTTCTGAGTAGCTGGGATTATAGGCCGTGCCACCATGCCTGGCTTTTCCAAATGCATATTGAAACCCTATCAAATGTGTTATTTTCTGTACTTGATAATATACGGCTTTATTATTACTTTATTATTACTCTGTCTGTGTTTACCAGAGGTTTGAAATATGGTTGAGAAAAGGGAATTGTTTATTGTACTTTCCTAGACCTCTATCCCAATACTAGATAGATATATATATATATATATATATATATATATACACACACACACACACACATACACACACCTAACACATATTGTTAACATAAATGAAATATTATGAGGTGGAAGAGGGGAAATGCTAAGAAGGGTGTATGTTTATCAATAGAGTATTTATGTAACCTACTTTTATATATAATGCAGACATTAATGTATTGCTAAAAATTAACATATTGATCTAATGGTTAAAAAAGGAATAGTTATTTCTAATTAAATTATGTGTATTCATTCTGAAGCAAATGTGAGGTGGAAACTATATTGAAAACAAACTATGTTTCCACATAGAGAAACACTGTGGAGGGCTGGGGTTGTGGCTCAGTGGTAGAGCACTTGCCTAGCCTGTGTAAGACACTGGGTTTGATTCTCAGCACTGCATATAAATAAGTGAATAAAATAAAAGTTGATCAACATCTAAAAATTAAAAAAAAAAAAGAAAAACACTGTGGATATGATTAAAACAAATACTAGTATATTATATTTATGACCAAAATATCATGATAGGCATTGACATAAATGATGTATTTTTCTTAAAAATGTTTTCTTTTATTCTTAATAAAGTACTGATAAAAACAAAGTACAATATATTATCAACTATGTGGTATTTACATTTCTGGAAAACTCAGTATGTAATAAAAATTAAAAACTTCCTTATAAACAAACAAACAAACAAATAAATAAATAAATAAAAGGGGCTGGGGATGCAGCTCAGTGTTAGGGTACCCCTGGGTTCAATTATTAGTACCTAAAACAAACAAAAAACATTATATGTTAATGTTAGCACACATATATTTAGGAAACCTGTTTTTGAAATTTTTTTTTTTTTTTTAAATAAGAGTATTTATGTATTCTAAAGGAAGTTTTAGGGATGATTTGTATCTTGTGGAAGGAATTAGGAAATATTTGGCCTCTCCTATGAGACAGGAGAGACCCTGAAAGTTCTGTGGCTTAAGATTTAATTGGTAAACAGGGAAAATTAAGAGAGAAGTCTCAAGAGAAACAGGTCTTTGAGGTTAAATTATAATAGGAAGGGACTGACAAAAGGATGGTGCTGTAGGGAGCATCTCATGTGCCATGTTGCCTACCTCTCTGTAAGCCAGATCCCTGCCCAGCTGGTGTGGCACCGTGCTCTTTGGCCTGGTAAGGCCTATGTACTGACACAACTGCGAGTATCCAGGATCCCTGGTTACCATTACTGTGTTTGGATGACCAGTTCCTCCTCCCATCTGATGCTGCTGGAACCAGGACGTGTACAAGAGCTGGAGCTGGAAGGACCCTTCTTGGAGGTTGATTCCAAATCACTTCCCACATCCAGCAACTTCCAGGACAAGAAGGGACCAAAAGGTCTTATGCGGGATTCTAGACTCTTAAATTATACGGTAAGCCTGAGGAAGAGATAGATCCTACAGCTTGTGGGACAGGAAATGTGGTTATTACAAGAGTAAGCAGATGGTGACCAACTGGACTTCTGGATTCTTTGCAGGGAATAGTCACTGGTGTGTTGAATGAGCCTGCTGGCCTCTATGAGCTGGATGGGCAGCTAGGGCTCTGCCTTGCATATCAACAGTTCCGTGCCCTCAGGCGGGTGATGCGACCAGGGGTCCGCCTGGAGGTATGTGAGAGATCAGGCCTGATTGCAAAGAGACCCTCCCAGTAACTTTTCTTACCTTCATAGGCTAGTCTTTTTTTGCAGCTGGATGAGAAACTCTGTTGCAAGAACATACAAATAACAAGTATTTGAGGGAATACTTTTCTTAAAAAATGATTTGGACAAGAGCTTAGAAAGAAAAGGAGTAATCTTAAATTCTGGGAGGAGGGGTTGGGGTCAAAGCAGCTTCTTCACAGAAGGCCTTCTGATTAGGGGAAGAGATGGCTAAAGCACAAGTCTAGGACCAGGAGCCTAGGAAGAAGACAGAGCCACACCTATCCAGCCAGGGGTTACCTGGTCCTCAGAAAGAGCAAAGGCTTACTAAAGCACATGGGAGATGATGCTGACTTAGGGAAATGGGTTGTGATGGTAGGAGAGGTGTGAAGTCTGAAAGGAAATAGTAGCCAACATAGGGGAAGTCGTGTTCCTTTCTCCTAAAACCCAGGTAGCAGAGACTAGTTACCCTGCCTGGGGTCACTGAGTTCAGTCTTCACTTTTTGCTTTTTCACTTTTTCATTTTCTTGCAGCTCCAGGATGTTCACCTCCTCCAGTCGGTGGGTGGAGGGACAACAAGACCAGTGCTAGCATCCTGCCTCCGTGGAGCTATCCTGCTTCGGGGTTTTTCCTGTCAGAAGCCTGGAAGACAGTCGTCCCACCAAGCTCATGGGGCTTCCCTGTATGAGCAGTTGGTGTGGGAATGGCAGTTAGGTCTTCCCCTCTACCTGTGGGCTGTCAAGGCCCTGGAGGAGCTGGCCAGCAAGTGAGAAGGATGAGGGTATGGGTTTGGGAGTAGGATACTTTCTCTGGAAGGGAAACAGGAACCTGGAACAGGGTCTTTGAGGGAAGTGACTGTGCTTCTTTCCCTGGTCAAGGCTATGTCCCCACTTGTTAAGACACAAGCAGTTCCTGCAGCATTCCTCTCCTGGAAACCCCAGTCTGGGATTACAACTCCTGGCTCCCACCCTGGATGCTCTAGCTCCGTCCAGCAGATCCATTCGGAATGCACATACAGAGATCCTTGAAGAGCCACATCACTGTCCCCTCCAGAAAGTATGAGGATGCAGGGAAAGGTGGGCGGCAGAACCAATGCACTGAAGGACCCCAGGGCACAGAGGACACAATTTGATTTCTCTTCTCCTTGACAGTATGCTCGGCTGCAGATTCCCTACTCTTTCCCAGCTCTGGACACTCTGGAAAAGGAAGGACAGTGTAGGGCTTGGGCCTCCTTTGACCCAAAGATACTTCTGCCTCTCCCAGAGGCTGCCCACCTGTCCACATGCCAACTCAATAACCGCCTGGCCTGGTCCTGGTTCTGTCTGCTGCCTTCTGCCTTCCACCCAGCCAAGGTAAGAGGCTCTAAAGGCTTAAGGAACTACCTCTTTTTGCCATCCATATTGCCCTGTCCTAGTCCAGGTCACTGTCACTTTTTGTCATTTAGACTATAGTCTTCTAGCTGCCCCATCTGTTCTTCGCCCCCACCAACTTATCTTCCCTGTGGCTATTCAAAAGAGTGAGGTAAGCCAGGCACAGTGGCACACACCTATAATCCAAGCAGCTCAGGAGGCTGAGGCAGGAGGATCAAGAGTTCAAAGCCAGCCCCAGCAACTTAGCAAGGCCTTAAGCAACTCAGTGATATCCTGTCTCAAAATAAAATATAAAAAAAGTGCTGGGGGGCTGGGGTTGTACTTAGTGGTATAGCACTTTCCCCGCATGTGTGAGGCACTGGGTTCGATTCTCAGCACCATGTATAAACAAATAAATAAAGGTCCATCAATAACTAATAAAATATCTTTTAAAAAATGCTGGGGATGTAGCTTCATAGTTAAGTGCCCCTGGGTTTAATCCCTATGACCAAAAAAATATAAATAAATAGATAATAAATAAGGGCTAGGGATATGGCTTAGTGGTTGAGTGCCCCTACTTTCAACCCCTGGTACAAAAAAAAAGGAAGTGTGAGGTAAAAATGTAACTTAGAGCTGGGTATGATGACACATGGCTGAACAGTTGGGAGGTTCAGTAGGAGTATCACAGGTTTGAGGCCAGCCTGGTCAACATAATGAGATCCTGTCTCAAAATAAAAAGGAGCTATGGATAAAGCTCAGTGATGGGGCACTTGCCTAGCATGCATGAGGCTCTGGGTTCACTCCCTAGTACTAAAAAAGAAGAAGAAATTTAACATGGACTATAGGATTATCTTGCTTAAATTCTTTTCTGGTTCTCCTAGTATTCATAAAGTAAAACCAAACTTGTCCCAAGAGGTCCTGCATGGTCTCTTAACTCTAACCCCTATTTATTGCTACTAAATGTGTGACTGCTTGTGGTATTTTTTCATGTCTGTCTTCTTTGAGTATAGATTCTTCGTGGTCAGAGACCATGTGCTTTTTGTTCATTTTATAGTGCTACCATTTAACACAGTGCCTGGCACATAGTGAATGTTCAATATTGGTTTAATTAAGTTTTTAATATGTCGGCCTTCCTCTTCCTGCAGGCTTTAGTTGGGGTTCTGGTGGCTTCATCTCATAAAGGTTGTCTGCAACTTCGGGACCGAAGTGGTTCCCTCTCCTGCCTGCTCCTGGCCAAGCACTCACAACCCCTCACTGACCCACAGCTTGTAGGTATGAAGCTCAGAGTTAAAAAGATGGTGGTATAGGGTAGAGGTTCTCATAATCAAGGGTGCCAGGAGGAAGCTTTTGCAGGAGTTTGCTAGAGATCTGAAGTAACATGACAATTAACAACTTTGATTAGAGGCCAGGCACAGTGGTACATGACTGTAATCCCAGCCACTTGGGAGTCTGAGGTAAGAGGATTACAAGTTTGAAGACAGTCTGGGCAACTTGGTGAGACCATGTTTTGAAATAAAAAGGACTGTGAGTGTAGCTCAGTGGTAGAATGCCCCTGGGTTCCATCCCTACCAACCACAAAAACAAAACAAAAAAATAATAGTTTTGGGGTGAAGTTTGGGAGACTGATATGGCAAGTAGAAAAAAGGAGCCAGGGAACCCCTAGCCAGAACTACAATTCCCAACATTTATTTCTGCCTCCATGGCTCCTAGCACACACCAGAATTACAATTCTTGTTTATAATATTCTTAATTTGGAAAAATAATGGTTTTATTTGGCTTACTGGAAATACATACAGGGCAACCCTGGAGAAGAAAATTTGTTTGGCATTTTCAAGATTTGTGTAAAAGTACAATCAAAGTCTTTTCAACTGGAAGGCCAGGGACAGGATTGTACATGCAGATGGGATGGTTTCTCCCTGGAGGTATCACCCCTCTAGGGAGTTGGGGGCTGGTGGTCACTTGTGGACCTTCACAAGTTAGGGGAGCAGTTCTCTTTTCTTGCAAAAATAGAGACTTTCTTCTAGGCTGCCTAATACGGACAGAGAAGTTCCAGTTGGTGGTAGAGAGGGACGTCAGAAGCAACTTCCCTTCCTGGAAGGAGCTAGGCATGACTGGTTTCATCCAGAAACAACAGTCCAGGTGGGCTTCTTGGGTTAGTGACTGTCCTCTTAAGTCTGAGAGGAAGGAAGGGTCTGGTGCAGGTTGGGGAATATTGAGGCCGAAAACACCCAATGGCTGGGCATAATGGCACAGACCTGTAATTGCAAGACTTGGGAGTCAGAGGCAGGAAGATTGCAAGTTTCAGAACAGCCTCAGCAACTTAGTGAGGTCCTAAGCAACTTAGCAAAACTCTGACTCAAATTTTAAAAAAGGGTTGGGGGACAGTGGGAGTATAGCTCAGTGGTAAAGCACTCCTGGGGTCAATATTCAGTACCATTTAAAAAAAAGAGAAAAACATCCAATGCCTACATCACTATTTCTCTCTGTCCCAACAGAGTCTACGTCCAGTTCTTTCTGGAGGATGCCCTGATCCTTCCTGTGCCCAGATCCTTTCATCACTCCTCAGCACTTCCTCAGACAGAGTCTACCGGCATAGAGGGACCCCACATAGGACAGAGCCGACTATTCTTGCTGTCCCACAAAGAGGCCCTCATGAAGCGGAATTTTTGTGCCTCCTCAGGAGCCACCTCAGGGTTGCTCAAGCCCACCCTCAGTTTCCATGTATCAGGTTGTTGGCTTGGGGGCACCCAGAGGAAGGAGGGGACTGGATGGGGCCCGCCTGAGCCCCTGACAGATGAGAGCAAGGATCAGAAGGTAAACTGGCCTCTAGGACTTAACTTTCCCTACCCTGAGCTCTAGGCTGGGACTCAGCACCCTGTTGTCCTTCCTCACAGGTTCTTCTCATCTTTCTTGGCTCTTCGGTCCGCTGGTTTGAGTTTTTGCACCCAGGGCAGGTTTACCGACTTGTGGCCCCTGGCCCTGCTGTGAGTGCCCTATTTCATCTTACCCTTCCCTAGAAAGTTGTGTTTGGGTTGGAGTTAAAAGGGTATACTAGTCCTTCCAGCTCTCCTAGAAGAAGGCTGGGTTTAGATGACCTAGAAGGCATCTCTATGTTGAGATCCTTTCCTTCACCAGGCTCTAGAAAGAAAGCAACATTGGAAGCTTTTGTGAACCATCTCTTGCCCAGCACATGCTCAGAGGCAGTCTTCCCATTTCCTGGCAGACACCAAAGTTGTTCGAGGTGGAAGGGTCATCCTGCACATCTCAGCGTCCTCTGGAGTTGGCTGGCTGTGTGTCCTGCCTCACCGTCCAGGATGAGTGGACCCTGGAGCTTGAGAGCTCTCCAGATGTTCTGGGAATACCCAAAGCATTGCCTGAATCCTCGCTGACCAACTTGCTTAGTGTCAAGTAAATGTCCACCAGCCCCTTCAGTTAATTTGACCATGCTCCATGTTTATTGGGTTTGGTAAATAGTCTGTTCTCTTTTTCAACCTAGAATTCCTGAGCTTAAGTGGTCCTCCTGCCTGACCCTCCTAAGTATCTGGGATTGCAGGTGTACCATCACACCCAACTAACATGTTTTGTTTCTTTTCTTTTTTGGTATCAGAAATTGAACTCAGCAGCACTTAACTACTTTTTATTTATTTATTTTGAGATAGGATCTTGCTAAGTTTCTTAGGGCCTTGCTAAATTGCTAAGGCTGGCTTTGAACTTGTGATCCTTTTGCCTCCCTAGCTGCTGGATTATAGGCATGTATCACCATGTGGGGCAACATGTTTCTTTAATGTGATTTATGTGGTAGAGGGGTAATGTCAGTGCAAGAGGGAAATTGTGTTTCATACTGAGTTTTTCCCCAAGTGCATCAGATTTGGAAATGATCACAAGCCAGGTATTCTTACACTTAAGGAAAAGCTTTAGCAATATGAAAAACCTCCAAAAGTATAAGGAAAAGTGCTGAAAATACAGAGAAGGACCTTCATTTAGTACAAGAAGTGGCCAGCTGATGGCTGCAGGAAAAACAGTAATCCTGGTATAAGCTTTGTGGGGCAATTGCAAGTACAAATGAAAAAGCTGTGGAGAAATTTCTCCCTGTATTAAAAAAATCCCATTGGGTTGTCTGTAATTTTTGTGAAATTAATCTATTAGAAGTGAATGTTTAAAGACAGTAGAATGAACCAGATGTAACTTTCCTATGTTCGTATACCACCTGTGAAACTCCACATCATGGAGATCCATAATTAGAATGGGATCCTGATTAGAATAAAGTATAGAATAAAGTACTTTATTATATATGTATAATGTCATATATGTCTAAAAACAACAACCACAAAACACCCCATAAAACAAAAATAAGAAGTGAATGTTTTGAGCTGGGCATAGTGGCACATACTTGTAACCTCCAATGGCTCAGGAGACTAAGGCAGGAGGCCCTAAGCAACTTGGCGAGACCCTGTCTCAAAAAATAAAAAGGGCTGGGGATGTGGCTCAATGGTTAAGTGCCCTTGTGTTCAGTCTTGTTCTATATGTTCTGTACCTCCCGCCCCCCCAAAAAAGAAGTGAATTTTTTGAGATGAGGATGAAGCTCAGTAGTAGAACATTTGCCTAACAAGCTCTGAGATCAATCCCTGGTACCACACCAAAAAAAGAATGTTTCCAAGGACCTATATTTTTAGGGAGGGGGCCTGAGCCCCAAGGCTCAAATGACAGACTGAGATTCTAGATGGAAATACAAGTGGTGATAGAAGGAAAAGTCTTTGGTAAAGCCTCTGCTTCCAAAGTTATGTCAGTTTCTTTCTTTTAATTAAAAAAAAATTTTTTTCCCATTACTGGGATTTGAACCCACGGGTCCTCTACTATTGAACTGTATCCCCAGTCTTTTTAAATTTTCATACAGGGTCTTGCTGAATTTCCCAGGCTGGCTTGGAACTTGTGATCCTCTTGCCTCAACTTCCTAAGTAACTGGGATTACAGGGGTGCGTCATCACAGAGTTGTACAGGATTTGAATGCACTGCCACAACCCTGTTTTTCCCACACATCTTGTTTTAGTGAAGAGTTTGGCAGAGCTCAAGATATTCTAGGGGTATTATTTGTAATATTTCAGCTGATACTGTCACTCCTTTTTCTGTTCTTTGGACTGACCCTTTATGTCTTATATGGTCTTGTACCTCTGTTCCTAGCGTATTTCTTTTACCTTCCAGCCTCACTGATTCCTTGGTGTCTTTCTCAGCTACGATTTTGTCACGGATAATGTGTGAGTCACTTCAGCCCCTTTGTCACGCAAAGCCTGGTAATGACTGCTCCTTCAGGAGCAAAGTATGATAAAATGATGGGACCTTGTGCCCTGACAGATCCCACTAGCCACCCTCCCCTTCTTCTGTAGGGAACACTGAGGATGTAAGAAGGTGTGTGAAGCTAACTGTATCTATAGAGACTGTTGACTCCGAATTCCCCCCTCTCCTGGACATATATATCGAAGACCCACACTTGCCTCCCCCACTAGGACTTCTTCCAGGAGCTCGAGTCTACTTTTATCAACTGGAGAAAAGGGTTTCCAGGTGAAAATCTGTGTTGTGTGGTCACATCTCCTCTCCTACTTAGGTGCTTCTCTTGAACACTTAACCTCCACAAACTATGCATAAGGACAGCTTCTCTTTGCCATTTCTTTCAGTGTTAGTCTGTCGTAAATGCCCTCCACCTTCTTGAGATATTGCAGACCAGTCCTCCTCTTATTCCTCTTGCTTTGGTAGAGCTGGATCCAGGGTACATCCCTGGGAGTCGGGGAGTAGCCCACTTGTAAGTTGTGATCCATGAATCCCAGCTCCCATCCTATTCTGATTACTTTCTCCTCACCCTCACTATTCTTGCAGATCCCACAATGTTTATTGTTGCTTCCGGTCATCCACTTACGTGCAGGTCCTGAGTTTTCCCCCGGAGACCACAGTCAGGTCAGTATCTAGGTCCTGACTCTTAAACTTCATGACCTCACACCCACATCCCACTCATGTCTCTGGCTCTGGAACTTCTGCCATTATCACAGTCTTCTCTCATTATAGTAGACTGTTGAGTCAGAAGGATTCCTTATATCCCAAATAAAGAATGCCCAATACCTGTCATTTTACCTAGAAAGATTTTTAACATTCTAGACTTTGGAAGAATTTTCAGTCTAAAATGTAAATATCTCTTTCTTGGCTAACATCTTATGTTCAAGACTAATAAATAATTGGTGACTGTTGGAGATGAGGAATCAAAATTGGGATGGGGGCCGTAAGGTTTCCAGGAGAACATGGAACCCACAATTATCTCCATCCCCATGGCTGCTAATTTCTGCCTGTTTCTTTTTTCTTTTTATCTCTCTCTCTTTTTCTTCCCCCTGGATTGAACTCAGGGTGCTATACAACTGAGCTATACAACTGAGCTATATCTCCATACCTTTTTATGTTTTATTATGTGACAGGGTCTTGCTTTAAGTCGCTCAAGTTTATCTTGAACTTTTGATCTTTCTGCCTCAGCCTCTATCTTGCTGGGATTAAAGGCACATACTACCATGTCCAGTTCCTTCTGCCTGTTTCTTTCTTTCTTTCTTTTTTTGAGAGAGAGAGAGAATTTTATTATATATTTTTTTAGTTTTTGGCGGACACAACATCTTTTTATGTGGTGCTGAGGATGGAACCCGGGCTGCACGCATGCCAGGCGAGCGCGCTACAGCTTGAGCCACATCCCCAGCCCTCTGCCTGTTTCTTGATCCATCTCTTTCTCTGTTTCCATAGTGCTCCACTACCTCACATCTACCTGGCTGAACTTCGGCAGAGTAGCTGGGGCCCATTCCAGGCCACTGCCTCTTGCCATGTTGTTTCTGTTGTCAGCCTCCAGCTCCGGTGGGTGTGTGCTCATTGTACCAGTGTCTGCCCCCAGGTATGGATGGGAACAGGTTGAGCTGGGTGTGCAATGTCAGAGGGATGTGATGGGACAAAGAGGACTTTTCTAACCACTTTTTTCATCCCAGGGAAAGTGCCTTCGTCAGGGTCCCGCTTGCTTCACTCAGACGTCTATAAGCCAAGCCAGCATCAGGTGAGCATCTATCACACTGTTTTACTCCCTTGTTAAACAGCTTCATCTGAGTTAGCATAATTTCTAGCTCATGGGAATTGTTTAATAAATATTTTTAGAATGAATGAGGGTACACTGAGCTAAAGACTGGGAATGATGGGGAGGGAGATGTGTTGGATCCAGGAGATTGACCACTTGGGAGTTTTTTATTTCTCCCCCAGGCTTCTGGTAGAGGATGGGACTGCTGAAGCTATGGTTACCTGTACAGATTATCATGTGGCAGCAGCACTAGGGTTGTGTGCTAATGAGTGGTCCTCCCTCCTAGAGTTTGTCCGAAAGCCAGGGAGAGTAGTCTTGCAATTTATGGAACCTGGAGCCCAGCTAGAGGTGAGATGTGACTGGAAGGTAGGGGCTCAGATACCCAGCTTCCTGGGACTTTGGTAAAAGGTTGGGAGCTTGAGTTCTGACTAACCCGGAGTTTCCTTTTCTAGTCTTCAGCTAAGACTGAGGATCCTTTGACACTCTACCTCCACACACTTTGTACCAGCCCCTCTGTCCTCCGCCCCATTGTGCTTTCTTTTGAGCTTGAGAGGAAACCCTCTAATATTACTCCATTAGGTAAGGGTGGTGCAGATAAATGGGTCCCAGGGAGGAGGCATAAAGGGTCAATAGGGAATTTTTGGAGTTGGGGAGAAGAGTGGTGAGTGGATACTAAAAACCACATGTGTGGTGTTTGTTTTTCTTCTCTTCCAATCTCAGAACCTCCTCGGCTACAGCGGTTCCAATGTGGAGAGCCTCTCCTGACTCGGGTGAATCCCAGGCTCCGACTGGCCTGTCTTTCTATCCAGGAGTCAGAGTACCCCATCTCCTTGGGGGCCTTTGCTTCCTCTTGTTAACCTGAACTACAAGAATCATCAGAAAATTCTTCCTTAGGGAAGGATTCAGGCCTTTTTCCTCCTGGAGTGGTTGTGGCCACTCCCCACATTCTTGGATTCACCAGCTGCTACCCCACTGTAATTTCTTTTATTCTGGTGCCAGCCTGTCTCAGGAACATTGTGGGAACAGCAAATCCTGCGCTGTTGATATTTCCTTTGCTTGGGAGTCAAGGCATCTGCACTCACAGGTGGACCTAAGCATTTTGATCTTCCTTTGTGGCAGGAACTAGAGGAACAAAAAAGGCTTGCTCCTTGTGAGGATGTTGTGATAGGTCCTTTGACCTGCAATAAAGCACTCTGGGGACATTTCTCATTTAGGTTCATCTCTACAGTCTCAACCTCTCTTACTCCCTGGTGGCTAGCACCTTTGTTCATCATTTCAACGCTTTGTTTACACTATTGTGGAAAGCTATTTGTAGAAGAGCTTCTGGTCCAGCAGGCTGATACCAAAGTCAGGTCCCACAGGGAGTAAATTGAGGAGTGGAGGGCAGTTGGGAGAATATGGCTATGGTGCTCTCAGCAAGGCTGGGCCTGGGAAAAAGTGAAGTATGAGAGCCTAGAGACACTGGGAAGTACAACATGGGTGTGGGGGAGGGAAGCACCAAGCGCTAGGAGGAGCATGTGAAGACTCTGGATTCCTCCACTGTCAAGACTCCACACAAAGGGTCAGCACCGTGGGTTTCCCCACGGCCAGGCCTAAGTATATCATTTGACCCAAGATGAGATCAGGAACATCCAAACCAACGGATAGAATTATGATCTGCACGTGTTTTGTTGTTCTCTCTTTTCAGCTGAGAGTTGCTTGCTTCTAGGTGGAGAGGTAGAGCAAAGCCCCTTTACAGCACTTAAAGAGCATTTCTTCTTGGCTGTTAGAGATAGGCTTCAGTCCGCATTGGGGTATCTTAAGATAGGCTTCAGTCCGCATTGGGGTATCTTAATTTGACTCGTCAAGGTTGTAGTTTCCATGTTTTGGCTAGGTTTGCTCCCTCCCTCTCAGAATACCAGAAGAAGGAGAAGCGAGGAGCAAATAGGACGTGTCTGGCCGGTTAGCTCAGTTGGTTAGAGCGTGGTGCTAATAACGCCAAGGTCGCGGGTTCGATCCCCGTACGGGCCAGAGTTTTCTGGTTTTTCTCAGTCTTCGGCCCTGAAATTCTCCTGCCCCATGTCGGAGCTTTTTGATCACCGAACGTTACACGTACTGTTTCTGAAAACAACTTCTTACAGCTCTCCAGGAACTGGAAAGAAACCCACACAGGCATCTTCGCGTCCTCTTCCGGGAGGTACAGTTATCTGAAGCTGTTGGGAGAATAGAGAAGATCTCTAAAAAGGCGGGGCCGGAAGACAAAGGCTGACTCCAGTTCTATTTGATTCTGTCGTTTTCGCGGTCCTATCTCAGTCATAATAGGCTTGGAATAAAAACAGTAAGAAAGAGCATCCTGCTTGTGACGTGGGGGAACTAAGAAAGGCACAGAAAGAACCTTACATAGGCCTGTAGTCGTGGCCGAGTGGTTAAGGCGATGGACTAGAAATCCATTGGGGTCTCCCCGCGCAGGTTCGAATCCTGCCGACTACGTGTAGTTTTTGTTCTCGATCGAGAGACCCTCTAATCCAGTCGGCACTCTCCAAATACCATTATCTCAGAATTCTAGAATATGAGAAGTGCCCCCAACTACGCACTTCTTGCTATGTTTGAAAGTATTTCCCTGCCCTTTCCGGAATCAGGTGGAAGTAATATGTTCCCAAAGTCCAGTCGATTTCCATTGAGTTTGCATAAGATGTATAGACGCGAATGCTATATTCCTGTAGTGCTTATTAGGGAAAAGCAATACTATCCCTGGCGCCGTGGCTTAGTTGGTTAAAGCGCCTGTCTAGTAAACAGGAGATCCTGGGTTCGAATCCCAGCGGTGCCTTTATTCAGTTGGGTGGGAGGGTTTCAGGTTTTGTCTGTTTTGTGACTTAAGACTTTTGTCTCCTCAATACCCTAAAGGACTGTTTTTCTATCAGAGAACTCAAGGGTTTCAGAGCATCCCGGTGCCCTGGTGGGCCGCCGCTCCCAAGCTGGCCCTCTCACCTGTTGGCAATCCGGCGCAGCCCGCCAATCTTTTGCCTCGCGGGTGCTACAGCCCAGTGGCGGGGTGTGTTAGCCTGGCAGCTCCCCTACCACCGAAATTGCTTCTACTATAGGAGGTCTCCTAGAATTTGAGCCACTTGGTTTTGTTTGGTACTAAATTATATTTCTTTTGTCTTGAGGCCTCATTATTTTATATGTATTTTATATATTGTAAAATATAAATATTTTAAAAATATATATTCAAAATGTGGTGCGACTTGTAGGTAACTGGGCCTTTCACGTGTAGTTACCTCTATCGCTAGCTCTCCACAAGCAGAAAGTCTGGGTCCACTAGCAAGATTTCCTTTGGCCCGGAGCTATCTGGGTTTCCTAAAAGAAGTCCTGGAAGAACTGGAACTATAAGGAGTGACAGTGGCCCACTTTACCTTTTGACTTGTTTTTTTCTTTTCCTCTTTTCCTCTCCCACTCCCTAACTTGGAATTCATCTCAAGAGAATCAGATTACCTTGAGTTATCTGTTCTCCACAGGAAAGAGATGTCACCAGAAGAACTTGGAAGTGACTATCTCCCAAATTAACTAGTGTAGCCTACCACAAACACACCATCAGGGTGACCCAGGACCCCAACAGTTCTGGAATGTAGCCTTTGAAGAGCTTTTTTTAAAAGTTCTCTGTTTTCTTTCCCTGATGGGCAGAATCACTGCCTCAGGGACTGGATGGAGTCCCCTGTGTTTCTCTGTTGCTAGCAAAGCAATAAAATTTCTTTTTCTTTTTTCTCAAAACTGTGTGTTCATTATTAAATTGGCATGAATTGGCCTTGTAACAAGGAAAGGGAGTAGAAAACTGCCTTGCCAGTGCAGTTTCCAGGGAACCTGGTGTGTACAGCAGGACACACTCCTGGAGCCCTGAGGCAGGGCTGGTGAAGGTAGGAGTGAATGGTGGCAGGACCGAGAGAAGGCAGACCTGTGGTGTGTCCGAAGGCCCAGCATTTCCTTGGCCCAGGATCTGTTGTGAGATACTGAGTAAAAATGTTGACCTGGAAGAATTGCTGTCTCCACCTCAAGCGAGATATCCAGACCACATTTGTATGCAACACTGGCAAACACTGCGTAAACACATGCATAAAGCAGACCCTTTTCTCAGAGCTCTTGAGAAGACAGCAATCACAACATAAAGTGCTAAGGGCAGGGACAGTGAAGCCAGATTTGAGGATAGTGTAGTTAGGTAAATCGGGTCTGATATTGAGTAAGATAAAGAAAATGGAGCACATTATTGAGAATGGAGTCCAGGAAACCAGAGCAGCACTTGCTGGAAATTGAAATGTTAATGTCCACAAGGCCAGGAATCCATCCTAAGGAACTGTTAATGAAGCTCACAGCAAATGAGGAAGTGCTAATCAAAAACCGCCCCAGACCCTTCCTGCCCAGATTACTCCTTCAGCCCACCTATTTCCCACCTTTTGACCTTCCCTACCTGCATTCTATCACTGCAAGATAAAGGGAAACAAAAGACATGAATGTGGGAAAGCTGAAAGAAGACCTTAGCTATAAAAAAGGGAAGACCTCCCGCTTCCACGGATTCCACCTCTCAGGTCCTCTTTTTCCTCCGGGGATAAGTCTTTTCTGCTGTCCTTTAATAAAGCTTCTACTTTCCACTCTTCACTTGCCTCGGCATGCTTCTCTGGTGTTATACTTCAGCCTTCGGGGAAACAAGGACTCGTCGTCACCGGTAAACAGCGGAAATAACAGGGTGTTCTCAGAATAGGGGAGAAAAGTGGCATTTCCTCCAGTCTGAGGGTAGAGGATAGTCAGGGGAGGCTTTCTGGAGGAGGTGAGCCAAGTCTTATGACCAAGTAGAAACTTTCCATTACATAGTTACAGCAAAACAGGCAGTGTTGTGAGACCTGGGAATACAGCAGGAAGCAAAGAGAGGAGACCTGCCCTGCTGGAGTTTATGGGACTGGGATGACACAAAAAAACAACATATTTCACTAAATTATATAATATGCTACATAAATGTTACAATCAGAGCATGTGGGGTGGGGGCAGGTGTTGCTTACAGAAATGTCCAAAGCTTGCAAGGGCAGTTGTAGAGATGACTTCAAGACATTAAGGATTTTGAATAATAGGCTTCAGTAACTGACAGGATGTGGAATCTGAAAAGGAAAAACTTCAGAAGGATACCCGCATCCTCCTGGGAAGCACTGGGGTCAGGAGCTTTGAGCTCCTCAAATATCTTCTCTTTCAAAAAACTGTGACTGCCTGAAGTTAAATCTTAGAATTGGATCTTTCAGTGTAAATTTCTGACTTCTGTTAAAATGCGAAATATAAAAAGAAAAAAAAAAAAAGTAAACTGCTTCCAATTGAAAAAATGACCAGTTGTTTACACCTTACTCTTTGGATTCTGAAAGTGGGGTCCTTCCCACTACTGAAACTGAAGTTTTGAGATGAGATTAGATTCATGGCTTTGCCAATTTCCTCTGGGTTCTTGTCTCACAAATTTTGAAGAATAAAATTCACTGACAGGGCTGGGATTGTAGCTCATTGGTAGAGAGCATGTCTAGCACCTGTGAGGCACTGGGTTTGATCCTCAGCACTACATAAAAATAGATAAATAAAATAAAGGAATTGTGTCTATATACAACTAAAAAACAACAAAAAAAAAATTCACGGACAATCACTGAGGGCCTAGTAAACACAGTTGGATATATTTGAAGAGAGAAGAGATAGAACCCCCGCCATAAGGTAGGGGGCTTGAGAGCAGAAAAGCCCATTTTGGTGTGCCAGCTTAGGAGTTTAAATATGGTTCAGGGTAGAGCATGGAGCAAAATGTATGTAAAATAGGCATTGAAAAAATATCAAGGCTATATCATCTTTCTTTCTATCCAGATTCACCCCCATCTTCCTTCCTATAACTTCCACCTGAGTTCACTCCCACCTCAGGTTTTTCCAGCTCTGAGACAAAAGAGTTGGCTGGAGGTGTTCCCAAAGTGGAGCCTCAAAGTCTTTTACATTTGAAATAGGCCTTGATGGTGCTCATTAAGGTGTTTACTTGTTAGCCTGGGAGTGTGGTTCCGGTGTATGAATAAAACTGACCATGGATATTCTTATTCACTAAGGTATGCATTTTTCTAGGAGGAGGGAATCACAACTTTTACTATTGGTCTTGAAGGATTTTGGTCTCTTCCTTGCGGAGATTCAGTGCCTAAGGTCAGGAGAGGGAAGGAAGACTGGAGAATTTAGCTAGGA